CTCTCTGACCTCTTTTTACATGGTGCAACTGCAGGTTATAACACAGGGGAATACTGTACATCTGTTGTGCATTGAAAAATAATGCAGATGGAAGCCTATTCCAACCTCTCACATTTTAAGACAACATAGAAATAGATTCTCAGTCTATGATGGGTTTTGCGGTTTACAATTAGATACACAGAGGTTTCCATATTGGACAAGAAACTTAGAATTTGTGACTTAAAATTCCACCACAGCAAGTTGTCAAATTGAATTCAACAATTCTGTTAAAAAGTACATGTGAAAGCTACCAGGGTGACAGAACAAAATGGCCATTTTCTGGAGCTGGGAGGGGAACCTTTATTATTACTTTCTTTGTGGCAAAGTGAGATAAAAATAAAAACAGATTACTGCTTTGTTGGTGATTGGAAATGGAACCAGTTATATACAAAAAATTTACCAGGATGTTGCCAGGAATGGAGGCTTTGAGATATAAAGATAGACTGGAAAGACTGGGACATTTTCCTTGGACTATTAGGAGGTTTAGGGATGACACTATTGAGGTTTATAAAATTGTGAGGTGCATGGATAGGGTGAATAACAAGGGTCTTTACTCTAGGGTGGGAGAGTTCAAAACAAGGGGGCATATTTTTAAGGTGAGAGGAGAAAGATTAAAAAGGGCAGGGGGAGACTTTTTTTTACACAGAGTGGTTCATGTGTGGACTGAACTGCCAGAGAAAGTGGTGAATGCAGACACAGTTACAACACTTAAAAGTCATTTTGGATGAGTTCATGAATATAAAAGGCATGGAGGAATATGGGCCAAGTGTAGACAGGTGGGACTAGTTTAGTTTGGGAACATGGTCAGCAAGGACTAGTTGAACCGAAGAGTCTCTTTCCATGCTGTATGGCTCTATGACTGTATATAAATACTGTGGCTATAACAGCAGGTCTGAGGGTGGGAATCCTGCAGTGAGTAACTCACCTCCTGGGTCTTCAAAGCCTGTCCATCATCTACCAGGAACAAGTCAGGAATGTGATGGAATGTGTTTACAGACCTGGGTGAGTGCGGTTCCAACAAAATTAAGGAAGCTTGACAATATCCAGAACAAAGCAGCCATCTTGATTGGCATCTCATCAAATACCTTTAGCGTTCACCATCAACGGACAACGGTAGCAATGTGTACCATTTACGACCCCCACGCCCCCAATCCATTAACTGCAGTGGTTCAAGGAGGAAGCTTAATGTCCCCTATGTAGGGGTAATTAGAGTTGGGCAATAAATGTTAGCCAACCTGTGATGCCTATATCCTGTAAATGAATAAAAGAAAAATGCCCAGCAGTCTCCTTTATGGATTGTTGTATAGGCCACAGAAGGAATGAAGGAGTCATTAACAAAAGAAAAATCCATCAATCTCACCTTAAGCATTTCAATTAATTCAACACCCACTGGCCTTTTGTGGAGAGTGTTTCAGATATCTATTACCGTCTGGCTGAAGAAGTGTTTCCTGGCTTCATTCCTGAATAACAGTTGTAATTTTACGAATATGCCCCTTTAAAATTCCTCCATCAGATTTTTTTAATCTACCCCAACGATTATTTTGTTTCACTTCACATACCTTGATTAGATCAGCGCTCTTGAAGGAATGCAAGCCATGTTTATGCAACCTGTCCCCATAATTAATCGTTTAAAATCATTTTGGTGAATTTGCACTGCACTTCATCCAAGATAAATATATCCTGCCTTAAGACTAGACTCCGGGTGATGAGTGACCAAGGCTCCAGACAACTAAAGCATAATTTCCTCCTCCTTTATATTCCAGCATCCTTGAAACTCCAAACTAGGAGGATGAAACTGCCCAGTGGAAAGTGGAGATTCAATCCTTGAAGGTGGAAGCATTAAAGTAGGCAATGAGAAGGGAGGTAAAATGATGAGCAACAACAAAGCCAGGGCTTCACTTGAAGTTAGAATGGGTGTTTTGTAACGAGCCTACTTTGCCTCCACAATATAGAGACCAATCAGAGGACTTGGCATAATGACGTGAAGGAATGTGAATATTTGCTATAAATGGAAACCCAAAAGTATTTATGTTGCCAGACAATGATACGAGCAGATAAATAGATGAGTTATTGTTGCTCAGTTTGCATGGCAAATGATGTAGGGAAGGATATTTGGAAGCAGAAATGTTGGAAGCTTGTGCAATGTGACATCAAGAGGCCAAGTCCTCTGAATGTGGAGGTGCCAGTGTTAGACTGGGATGGACAAGGTCAGAAGTCACACGACACTAGGTTATAATCCAACAGGTTTATTTGAAATCACAAGCTTTTGGAGTGTCACTCCTTCATCACCCAATGAAAGAGCAGCGCTCCAAAAGCTTGTAATTTCAAATAAACTTGTTAGACTATAACCTGGTGTCATATGACTTCCGAACAAGTCCTCTAGAGAGCATAGAGGGGAGGCTGGGGAACATGTGTTTAGGCATGGAAATGTCTTTTTACTTTTGTAAATAATATCATCTTTTGGAGGATACTCCACAACACTCTGGTCTGAACACTAGCTTTAGGAATTCCATTCGCTGTTCAGTTTACACTTTGATTGAAAGACACATACCTTTAACGTCATAACCTTTTTTCTTTACAGGTGCTGACTCACTTGTTGTGCATTTTCAGTACTGTCCATTTCTTTGAAGATTTGAAATTTTAAATACATATATAATGTACGTATTTGACTGTTTTACTTCTGAAATGTTCAAAGTTATCTGATATAAGCCAGAGAAACAAATGAAGTTATAGCACTAGTTTCATTGTTCTTTGGATAAAATGAGCTAAAAATCCTGATTCTGATCTCTATCCATGCTAACTGTACAAAAAGGTAAATAATCACTCAATTGTGATGCTTCCTACAGTCAATCAACCTGAATATAGAAGTGTGGTCTCCCTGCTGTGGGAAAGATGCTATGGGAAAGAGCGTAGAAAAAGTTTACAAGGATGTTGCTGGGGTTGGAGGGTCTGAGCTATAGGGAAAGGTTTAATAATCTGGGGCTATTATCCCTAGACCATCGGAAACTGAGGGGTGATCTTATAGAGGTTTATAAAATCATGAGGGCCGTGGACAGGGTGAATTACCAAAGGCTTTTTCCCAGGATAGGGGAGTCCAAAAGTAGAGGGCATAGGTTTAAAGTGAGAGGGGAAAGATTTACAAGGGTCCTAAGAGGCAACTTTTTCATGCAGAGGGTGGTATGTGTATGGAATGAGCTGCCAGAGGAAGTGGTGGAGGCTAGTACAATTACTACAACATTTAAAATGCATCTGGATGGGTACATAAACAGGAAGGATTTAGAGGGATGTGGGCCAAATGCTGGCAAATGGGACTAGATTAATTTAGGATATCTGGTCAGCATGGATGAGTTGGACTGAAGGACCTGTTTCTGTGCTGTACATCTCTTTGAGTCTAATTTATTGCATTTGAATAGCACCTTTAGTGTAGTAAAACATCTCAAGGCTTGTTACAAGAGCATAATCAGACAAAAGTTGCCATTGGTTAAAGAGGACATTAAGTAGGGTGACCAAACACTTGGTCAAATCTGTAGGTTTTAAGCAATACCTTAAAGAAGGAGAACACAGTGGAGAGGTTTTGGGAAAGGAACTCCAGACTTCAGCCTCACAAACGAAGAGGGACTGCTTGCATGCAGAACTGGAAGAAACTGACTTCAGCAGGCGTCAGAAACCCAACGTGAAGTAGAAAGAATGCTGGCAAAGCACAAAATAAAATAAACAAATAATGATGGAGGATTTCTGATCAAGCTTGCTGCTGGCAGAAATCAGCTAGATTTCCACTGATGAATCCAATGTTGAGGTATGTAAGTATATACTTAACATTTTCAATGATAGTAACCTTATGTTTTAACATCTGTGTTGAGGAAAGCACAGGTAGGCCAGAGACATCTGGTTCAGCAGCTAAGTACAGGGGTTGGAAAACTAAGCATTAAAAGTGCCCCCGATCATAAGGAATTCACACAGCTGGTATGCATACCCTGAGGACAAGACTAGGGTAATTAAATAAACTTCCTAAGAAAACCATAGAACTGAAGGTTAAAGCTAATTCTTCTTGTTCCTTCAAATTTGCAGTTATGTCAGAATATCAGGAGCAGATTTAATAGTGACGCATGGTGTTTAATATGACAAGTGGAATTGGGCAATCAAATCGCACTCAGTCTCAGCAGATATGTGATCTACACCATCCAAAATGTAAATGGTACTGATATTCACAGATCATAGAATCCCTACAGTGTGGAAACAGGCACTTCGGCCCAACAAGTCCACACCGACCCTTCCCCGTATAACCCACCTAAGCTCCACATCCCTGAACACTACGGGCAATTTAGCATGGCCAATCCACATAGCCTGCACATCTTTGGACTGTGGGAAGAAACTGGAGTACCCAGAGGAAACCATTTGAAAAAAAAACTCATAAAGGGTGAAACATCACTGATCCTTTTGTTTTCCTGCGTTTTGCCACATTCCCTCTCTTTACACATTATTGTTAAAATTAACCAATGGTCTTCATTCTTCATCTTTTATTTCTTCATATGTTAGAGGTGTTCAAAATTATAGATGGTTTAGACAGGGTAGATATGAAGAGAATGTATCCACTTGTGAGAGAGTCCAAAGCAAGCTCTAAGATAATAACGAATAACTCCAATAACGAAAGAAGGAGAACTTTCTTCATTCAGAGAACAGTTAAAATATCAAACTCTTAACCACAGGAAATTGGGGAGTTGTCAAGATATTAAGGGGAACAGAAAAAGTAGATAAGAGAAAGTATTTCCCTTGATAGAGGAACTTTGGACTGTATTAGGTGCACTTTAAAATCAGAGACAAATCTTCCAGAAGTGAAATTAGAAAACACCTCTAAACACAATGGTGACAGAAGTCTCACTCTTGCTGGGTTTTTTTGTATTATTCCCTAGCACGTTGTTTGCTATTTCTTTGCTCCATTTTTGCTTTAACCCCGCCCTGCTTCTTCTGTTCTTTTCCTGCACTAGTCGAGTTCCCTTGTCTTTTTCTCTCTACTGTCTTCTTTCTGTCAATTTGATTTCTCAATCTCTGCTATTCTTTTTCCCTTTACTAATTCGGGTCTGGGTCTCTCTCTCTCTTTGTGTCATCTTCTTTGTGTAATTTATCCTCATCCTGTTTCTTTTTGGACCCTGTAGATGTATTTCCCGTACAGTCGTCCTACTCTCTCTGGCTGTCCCCATTCATTGCTATTTCAGTGTCAATTTCATTGTCTCCAGAGCAGCGGACAGTCACGTGGCACAACACAGGATGCTCGCTGTGCGGGAGTCAGGCTCCAGTAAGTATCAAACTTTGCAAAAACTTTCCCAACTTGCGCGCTAATTCACAGAAAGCGCTTGTCAAAACAAAAAGTGTGCGTATGTTCAACCCCACAGGAACGGCAGGTTTTGATTTTCTGATGGTTGTATTGGATACACCGGTGGTGGTTGGGTTTTGACCTATCCGTGCAGCAGTCTGTCGGTTCCTAATCTGGTTCAAACCACTTCTGCAATACCTGTATCGAAACCAATGCTTGGAAATGACACTAGTAAAAAAAGGATTAAAAAAGCGATTGCCTCTTTCTTAACGAGTCCATATTTTATCCACCGTTTTGACTAAAATCAGTTTCCCACTCTCACAGTAGGTCAGCTGAAGAGAGCTGGATACTAAACATAAAAACAGAAATTGCTGAAGAAACTCAACAGGTCTTGCAGCATCTGTGGAGAAAGAAACAGTGTTAATACTTTGAGTCCAGTCGCCCTTCCTCATAAAAACCGGGCATCCATAGAGAGCAACAATTTTGCCTCGGCATTTTACAGCTTTTCGACAGCTTTAGATCAGAGCCATACTTATAGTTTTTGACATAGCAGGCATTTAGCATGGCAGTGCTGTTACCATTCACAACTTCCTCTGACCCAATCCTTATTTCTTTACTAGGAGTTTGGTCTCCACATGTACTCTTAATTATAAATCCTGAGGATTACAGATCCTGTAAGTGAAGAAATTTTACTATGGAAGGACAAAAGGCACAGTCTTGGAGGGCCGAAGGGCCTGTTCCTGTGGTGTTGTTCTTTGTTTGTTCCTCAAGTCCAAGCCTGATGAATGGGAACTGATCTATCGGCAAACACCATTCCACTGACCAACCTATGGGGCGCTTCCAGAATTTTTCATTTCCCCTTCCCTTCTGTAAAGTGATGCTTGCAGGTTAAGTGAGTGAGTGTCAAGGTGGGAGATGGAGCATATCTAATATGGGGAAGTATGATGGTATCACTTGTCTGTAAAGAATAGAACATTGTCAAAATGATGAGAAACTGTGAAATGTTGGAGTTCAGAGGGATTTTGATGCCCTTGGGCATTGAACATACAAACTTAATGTGTGGATTCAACAAGGAATCAGAAAGGCAACTATTGTGTGGGCCTTTACTGCAGGTTTATGAAGCAAGAGAGAGGAAATGATTTTGCTTTCACACTGGTCTTTAATGAGACCACACCAGGAACACTGTATTCAGTTCCATATTTAAGAAAGGCTATATCCTGGAGGGAAAATCCTAGGTTAAACAGAATTGATTCTTGAGATGAGAAATTTTTTCCATAAGCAGAGACTGAATTCATCAGACCTACACTTCTTGGTGTTTTGAAGAATGAGAGTTGATTTGATTGAAGTGTACAGGACGCTGAGAGGGTTTGACAAGGTCAATACAGGCAGACATGGAGTGTTGTTTCAGAATAAAGAGTCAGCCATTTCAGACTGAAGTGAGAAGAAAATTCTTCATTTGAGTTTGTGAGTTTTGGGAATGCTCTACTCCAGAATTGGGTGGAGGCTCAGTTTTTTATTAATATATTTGATACTGAGCATGATGGACTTTTGAACTTTTAAGACAATCTGGAGACACAGGAAGCAGACAAGAAAGAAGAGTTGAGGCTGAAGATGAATCATGATTTCAATGATTGGTGCACTAGGCTTGAGGAGTTGACTGACCTACTCCAGTTCCTTTTTCTTATGATATTTTGCACAATCATACGCATGTTCCTCTGCCACTTGGTCATGGGACAATTTCATGGTGGTCAGGTGTCCTCCAGTACCTCAACCATGTGACCATGTGAGCAACATTTCAAAATGTTGACTGTCTTGATTTTGGAACTACTGGCTTGGTTCAATTACAGCTAAGTAACCGTGAACATATCGCATAAGGTAACAAGTTATGACAATATTAAATAAATGATTTCACTCAGGGGTCAATTTCAGCACCTTTTTTTTAACTTGTGTATGACTTGACTGTACCTGGATGTAGGAAGTACATCAATACTGAGCAGTATCTTTACACCCTGAAAACTTTCATTAATGACAGAAAAATCTTCCTGGTAGAATTCTGCATGAAACGGTGCCTTCAACTAAGTATCCTTCCTCATTCACTTGCACTATGATGGTATCTTTCATGAACTCACTGGGTGGTCCGTTTTTCAAACACCTCGTTTATTTAAGTGTCGTCCTTTACTGGACTCTAGCCCACAAAAGAAAGACTGAAAACTGCTGAGAAAATCAAGGTATGAAATTACTGAATTATTAAACTTACTGATTTTGCCTGGGATCAAACACCTTGTCATCTGCAGCATTGTGTTTGGGCTCACTCGCTGTACAGCAAGACTGGCTGATATTCTACTTCATACCAGTCTGGCCCTATGTTAGACACTTTGCATTGGTAGTTACCAGTCCTCTGAAATGTAATTGTTTGACTCATATCTTTGTGCACACATTTTTTTCCTTCTTGAAAGTTTAATCATCAACCTGTTGTACCAGATCACAATTGCTCCCTTTACAGCAAACTAGACCTGGGCAGAATCTTTTGCACTCCCCTACTGCAAGATTCATGCCTAGGGGGTCATTTAATTAGGAATGAGGGTGACATGTAACAGACCCAGCTGCCTTCCTTCCAGTATCCCAATTTGGTCTGTGATGAGAAGACCCATATTAGACTCAATGAATGCTCATGGAAGAGCCTCATCCTCCTCCCACAGTGACAGGTTGGGAGTCTTGCCATGTGGGGACCCTGACAAATAAACTCATTTGACACTCATAAGCACTCAGTGCCCGATGGAAGATAATGGCATCAGGAGGTTGGTAGGGGGAGAATCACTAAGAACCACTAAGAATATTCCTGGTGTGGTCTCACTAAAGCCCATTGTGATTGCAGGATCTCTTGTACTTGCTGCCAACCTCTCTCCTGTAACTACTATCCATGACCCTCCTCTGCCATCATTAACCTGTGGCCTGGGATCCAGTGTTTATTCTAGCCGTCAGGTAGGTATTGTATCAGCAGCAGCTTTGTGGTGGCCCTGATGTTTCAGCAGGGCTGATGGCTTTTATATAGTTCTCAGTGATGGGACTTCAAGCCCTGGGGCCCTTGACAGGGCATTGGGTTGGATGGGGATGGCCTGTCAAATACTTGAGTGACACATGATATGCTGATTCTTCCCAAACAGAGATGATGCAGGGTTTGCAGCAGCATTCCAGCCAGCAGCCGAGACCCCTGTCACCTCGAGATTCTGGCCTCACAGTGAACTCGGGACCTCTGGCTCAGAAACAAGGCAGCTCACCTAATGAACCACAATGCAATGCCTTCCCATTGTTGCCATTCAGGTGCAGTAGCAAAATAGGTGAATAGAATGCTAATTCACTCATGTTTTTGATATTGACGGATAGTGTGTCTCTTCCTGAGACATAGGAGCCTGAGACTTGGGAGCAGGAATAGTTTATCTGCCCTTCAAGACTCATTCGCTTTCAAGAACATCATGGCTGATCTTGTGGTCTCAGCTCCACCCTTGTGTCTGCACTCCCATGTTTACCAAAGGCTCTATCCAATTCAGCCTTGGTATGTACAAAGATATCCAGTGTGGTCAATATTTTCTGACTCCTCTCACCTTCTATTGACAACTTGTTGGTATGATATATGCCATGATCTAATTGAATAGAGGAACAGTCTAGATGGGGTGAATAGCCTATTTCTGCTCCTGTGTCTTGTGGTCTTATGGATAGCAGGTGCTCCTATATATCACCATATAATGTCCAATCTTACAACTTGTCAACCAGGTCAAAATAGCTCAAAACAATTCCACTTCAATGGCTACCTGTTGATATTGAAAGCAGGTGAGCTTGCTAAACGAGATTTTGTCAGGATGATTGAACCAGAAACCATCTCTTTTCAGAAAGACTAGGACACAGAAGCTCTGCAGTTTGCAGATGAAGATGTGTCAGATCTGGAAATTTCTAAAGGGGTGCATTCTGCATTGTAGTGTCAAAAATGGTGAAACGTTTCATGCATTTTGTGCATTTGAAGGGAAAGTGTGAAATTTGATGACTTATGATTCACTAAAATGATTCCATGTTTCTTTATGGTTTAAAATTGTTTACAAGATGTGACGTTTCTCGAAGTTGTTTTACCATTTTCATCTTTTTAAGATGTTGTGCAATGTTGCCATTTTTAAGATGTGCTGCTGTATTCGCCATATGGACTTTAGGCAAATAAAGTTTGATGCTTCAATTTCATAAAATTCCGATTTGTAGAATGTGTGAGATTGAATTGAAGTTCAGCATCCACTGCATATGTACAGTAGTTACTGGGGCAATTGGTCCAATTATACCCATAGTCTGTCCTTTTCTTATTGCCAGAATAGCCTGATCTATAATAGTCACACTCTGTCCTGGGACAGTCATGTCATGAATGTTGGTTGTAATATTGCAATCTATACATGTTTTAACTAATCCCCTACTATAAATTGCTCATAGTAATTTTGATGGTATGAATCCCTTATTAAGCTTAAAAAAGGTGCCAAAATTCTGCACTGGCAGCTCAGCTGATGGAAAGCGCCGGGGCTCCTGTCTACCCACAGATCTTGACCATGAACTCTACCCTCAAGATTGGCAATGGAGCCATTTGCATGAATCCTAGCAATGTTCCCCATATTAAACCCAGGACATAATTTAAAAAGTCAGATATTAAAAGACAGACTTTCGTAAACTTAGCAATAAAATTAGGATTTTGAATATTTCAATCCTGGAGTTTGTTAGGACGAGCAGCTCCTAGAAAATAAAAAAAAGATAAGACAAGATTTTCTTTAAGAGGATTATAATGTAGTATGTTTGAACTGCAAAACACTCTGAACTATAGCAAAATGGTGCATCTATGGGTAGCATTGCACAATCCAGCTCTGAACCACCTTAGCCAGTGGTAAGTGGTTGCTGCATGAATTTCTGATAATATGGTCTCTCCGGCGCACATTTTAGTCACAAGTATTTGAGAAAATATATAAAATGGTTTCCCTTCTGCAGTAAGAATGTCATTGCCGTGCACACCTTTGACTGCAAGTGGGAGAATCAGTGGGACGCCAAGAACTTTCACGTCAACGCCATTATTACTTCCGAAAGTGAGTCAGGCTGTCATCCCACTTTCGGTCAATCAGGTAAGCAACTTGTTAAGAATATTTTATTTTAAATCTATTCAACGAATCTCATAATTGACAAGGTTAGCATTTGTTGCCCATCCGTGTGAAGGAAGGGTGAGCTGCTTGTTGAAGGCTGCAATCCATCTTGTTATACGTACATGTACATAGCATTTAGATGTCCAGAGCTTTGGTCTAGTAACAGTGAAGAAACAGTGACATAGTACCAGGGACAGGTAATACATCTGGCTCAGGCAGCATGTCCCATGAGTGAATCAAAACAAAAAGTCCCAGTTAGGGATGATAAGTGACTTGGAGAGAAACATGAAGGCAATAGTGTTCCCATGCGGCTGCTGACCCTGTCCTTCTAGGTGGAAGAGGTCAAACATTTGGAAGGTGCTGTTAGTCCTTTTGACCTGATGCTGTGCATCTTATTGTTGGAAAACATTGCAGCCATTATGCATTGATGGTGGAGGTAGTGAATGTTTAAAGGGGAGCATTTGGTTTCAATCACTCTTGCTGCTTTGTCTTGGATGCTGTCGATCTTCTTTAATGTTGCTGGAGATGCACATATTCTGGAAGGTGGAGAGTATTCACACTCCTTTGTGCCTTATTGATGGTAGAAAGGCTTTGGGTAATCCAGACATGAGTTATTTCCCCCAGCCTTCCTAGCCTGTGACCTGCTCTTATGGCACAGTATTTATAACGCTGTTCCTGTTACGTTTCTGATCAGCAGTGACCTTCAGGATATCAGAGGTAGAAGTTTTAACAAGGGAAAAGCTGTTGAATGTAAAAGAGAGATGATTAGGTTCACCAATGTTGGCGATTGCCCAGCATTTGTGTGGCACAAACAATGCTTACCATTTATCAGCTCAATGGATATGTAGTTGGATTCCCATCTGATACCAAGGTTCAGTTGTCAGGGCAAAGGGTAGAGTTGGTGGTTAGGATTGAAGTTTGTGGCAGTGATCGCAAACCATGGTTTCAGTTTTTCAAATACTGAAGGAAATTTCTATTGATCCTATACTGGTCAGGTGTGTAAAGCATGACCATTGGACCATGCAGGACAAACCCTTAAACAGAATTAAGATGAAACCACTGAATGGAAAAATATTATTTTCAAATTCCAAATCAGAACACTTAGGTTTATTTTCAAACCAGCAAACAGATGGAAGAAGTTATTCAGATCCATAGAGATACCGAACTGTCAATGTATTCACTTGTCGATGATCATGTGCATATCAAGGAGAATATTTGTGAGTCTGTGTGTTTCAGTGTTAGGAGCTTGAGAAGAAAATAACTGAGAGTTAAATACCTTGTCAATTAAAAAGGAAGATTATGCTGGCTTTAACCGCATTGGTTATAGGCCGGTGGATCAATGTTTTCACATGGGAACTTTGGGGAGCTGCCCAATTATGTAGCTAATACATATGAATGTGAACACTGGTCATAGAACCATTTAATCGGTTTTATAAGGAAACTCAGGACTGATTTGTGGTCTTTTCCTATTTAAAGTGTGGCCAACGCATTAATCCTCTACATCCACCAGGGGTGAAGCGACGGACAGTCAGCCTAGAAACCTTTGCAGCTCATCACCATAATCAACAAAGGGCTGTGGTGATGCAACAGAAGGAGTATAACAGGTATGGACCAGAAGCCACTGGAAGAGAGGCAAATCTTACTTACTTGATATTTTAAGTTTTTGATGAGATTGCACATTGGTTAAATCACAGAATGGTAACAGCACGAAGAAGTCATTTGGGGTCATGTCAATGCTGGTTCTCTGCAAGTACAAGATGGCTCTTCTCACTGCCCCCAGCTTTTTCCTGCAGTCCTCCAATATTTTCTCTTCAAATAATAATCCAATTCATCTTTGGATGCCAGATATGAACTTCTTCCACCATAGACAGTGTATTCCAGATCGTAGCCACTCGTTGCTTTCAAAGATGTTTCCTCCTGTTACCTTTGATTCTTGATGAATGGTGAAAGAGCCAATGTCTTCTGACTCAGTCCTCTGCCTATGCATACAGTTTTGCCTTACCTTCCCTGCTCAGGCCCCTGATGATTCTGAAAACCTTAATCAAATCTCCTGTCAATGTTTTCGCCAAGAAGAACAGTCCCAGCTTCTCCGATCTATCTAATCTAGTGTCGCAACCTGGAGCCATATCTTTTTTACATTCCCACTAAAGCCTCAATAGCTATGGTAATAAATCATGCCACATAGGGTAAAATATGCAATTGGATAGGTAATGACATGAAATAGTAAAACAAATATTAGCTATGAGATCCAATATTTCTGGGTCAGAAGAGGTTATGAACATAACACCACAAGTTCCATTCTGAGGTCCAGCAGTCTAAGATGTATTCGTAGCTTGTACAAGGACAATAGGAGCAACATTTCCAAATGTGAAGATAATGCCAAAATAGTAGACAAAGCAACTTATGTTTAGAATGCAGGAAGATTTGAGAGGAATTTGAGGCTAAAAATTATTGTTGGCAATATTAATGAAACAACATTTAATATGGTCATATGTTATTAATTTGGCTGCTATTATAATGGTGACACTAATGGTTTTATTATGAATATGTAATACTTCTGACAAAATAGTAGACAAGGAAATATGATATAAACCCTTGCTCTGTTAAAATCAGTAATTGTAATTCCTAGGTAAACTATTTTAGGTCACTGGGCAACTAGAGAGCCAATGCAGTTCAACAGGTAAGATAATTGCTATATGATTAACGAAGTATGAGGTGGCAACTTCAAACCACAATCTCACAGGCTAAACCAGGAAATTTGCTGATGGCATTCTCCAGCTCTGGCTCTGCTGGAGTTTGCAGTGCTAGGGAATGTCTTTAGCATGGAGCAGGCAGACAAAATCACAATATCAGATGCAGCTCTCAAACATGCTATACACATGAAAGCACATTGTATCACCGAGGGGAGCTGTCCAAGTCGCTCCTGCTTGACCCTTGTCATTAGTTACAATAATACCCTAATTTATTCCATGAGCAACAGGTCACATCAATATTTCATCTACACAAAACACTGACCATTTAATTCACAAGGGTCGTGCCATTCTCTGTCATTTCTGACAATTTTCTAATTGATTACTAAGGGATGGAGCCTATGTTTCCCTGAGCAAGAAGCCAATCTGAAGAAAATTTGCCCAGAACTCCAGTTGTCTTAAAAGATCCAGAATACTTGCCCTCGTGTGTACTTATGGAGGCTAATACCCTACCACTCAGTTGGTATACCGATCATCGCATAAGTGCCAGGTATACATTTGCATCAGGAGCAAGAACTTTGGATTAGGAAGTTACCTTGGCCCCTGACATATGCCTTTTAAGAGGTAGACATTAGCTCCATTCCTTATAAACCAATGAGGAAATTTTCAGAAATGACAGAAATTGGCACAACCCTTGTGAATTAAATGACCAGTGTTTTGTGTTAAATAAAATATTGCTATAACCCGCTGGCCATGGAATAAAATAAATTATGGTATCAGCGTGAATAAGTCTGCAATGCAATGAACAACAAATTTCATTTGTATAGCACCTTCATCATGGAAAAATCCCAAGGAATTCAAAGTCACGCCAAGGTACAGTAACCAGAGTACTGTCTCATTGCCAATAGGTGTACAATGAGCCAAGGAATGTATGATAAATGCTAAAGATTATTGTAATCATTATAGATATCTTTATTGAGTTGTAGACATTATAGAAATATTAATCGAGAAAGAAAATGAATAGGAAAGGAACTGCCAAATTGGCTGGCAAAATTGTAAAATTCAATTGCATTGCCCACAGCTCAAGAAGGTATGCAATACCTTTAAATGAATCTCCAGTTCCGTTGCTAGGCTACAGTTTCTGTAAAAAGAGCCTCTGAATGTCAACTGCCGACACGATCATTTTTAAGTGGTGGAGCTTTATGCAACAAAGGAGTTTCCTTTACAGAACATGTGCGGTAAAATAAACTTCATGAAAAATGAAACTCTGCTTCTATCAAACACTGGTGCTGATTCTACAAAACTTTGGGTATTGCCTGGCCTTGGTGTTGCTAGCAATAGAGCCTGGTAACTCTTATTGATAGTTTAAATTTTAATGTTCAAAATAAAAGTAAAAGCCTCTTGTTGTGAGAGTGATTCTTTCCATAGGACAGATTTTCAAATGGTTGGTTGCAGACTTGGCTTGGAGGATGAGTCATGTATTAGTAAAAAAAGCAAATTAGTAAGTCAAATGAAGCAGATACAGAGGTGTTTTTAATCTGCAGTGCAGAAGCATCAGACATTTAGACTATTTTCATCATAAACAGGTGCAGACACACTGGGTTTTTTAGATCCTCATATCTTGCAGTATTTTGTCATGTTGAACAAGAACTATTTTTGACAGATAAATACTACAACTATGACAAAAAAATGCAGATATTTCATGAACATATATTCAAGGTGTCTATCATAATCTGGCTATTTTTGAAAACTGGTAAACCATTGCTAAACAATTTGTTCCTGATTGGTGCCTAGATCTATATCTGTTGTAAGACCCTCCAGATATTGTCTCCTGTGACAACTATAAATCTATGAATATGATATGCTCCCTTGCAATACTGGCAGGGCTAACACATGCACAATAAGAACCTTCCAGCAGTGTTAACAGATGCAATATAATATATGACAGACTCAGGTTTTTGTAGTGGCCAAACCCCTTGTGTCAGTCATATTTTAAGGGTAACCTTCTTTCCTCTAAGTCAAAAGGTTCTGGGTTCAAAAGGAGCCACTTCTGAAATTTAAGCACAAAATTTAGGCTAATGTTTTGGAGTCCTGATCAATATTTATTCTCAACCTATGTCACTAAAAAAGATTATCTGGTCATTATCATGTTGCCATTTATCGAACTTGCCTTGCGCAAGTCAGCTGCTATGCTTTACAACAATATAACCATTTGAATTAAGAACAGGCATGTCATTTGGTGCTTAAGTCTGTTTCACCGTTTACTAACATCATTACCGACCTGATTGTGGCCTCAACTCTACTCTTCTGCCTACCTTCCCAATCCCTTGTCAATCAAAAATCTATCTAACACAGCCCTAAAAATATTCGATGACCCCACCTCTGCTGCTGTGAAAGAGAATTCCACAGATCCTGAAAGGAAAAAAATTTTTCCTTTTTTTTCCTTGTCTCTGTCAGAAATGAGAGATCTATTTTTAAACAGTGCCCCCTAATTTTACTCTCTCCCAGAAAATATTCACTCAATATCCATCTTGTCAAGTCCCAATGCAAGCCTTTTGAGGGTGCACCTCCAGTGGCAGGATTAGAATGCGGGTCCCCAGGGACATATAGCTAGGTCTCTGGGTTACAAGTCCAGTGTCAATACCACTATAGGCCATCACGTTTTACACATCTTTGGAGTCAGTTTGTTCAGTTGGCTGGATGGTTGGTTTCCAATACAGCGTGACACCAAGTGTATGTTCAATTCTCACACCAGTTGAGGTTACCCTGAAGGACTCTCCTTCTCAACCTCCCCGCCACCTCACCTAAAGTGTGGTAACCCTTGGGTTAAACAAACCCTTTCTCTAATGAGAGTGGGACTGTGTTTACTTTTTCACCTTGCATCATGTATTATACTTGGGCATCCTAATTATCATATGACTACAAGTTACCCAAAACTATCACAGTATTTTGTAATACTTCGCTAAGCTCAAAGCATTCTACAGTGATCTCATTCTTCACAAGATTAATCTGTTCTTCCATGTTGCAAATTTCACAATGATCATGTTTAAAACACCATAAATCTATTGGTTTATGGTGATTATTGTTTTCTAACATTATAAGAGTTTACATCCTACATGTGGTCAAATCCCCTTTGTGACTTTAAACAGGTATCCACTCTGTCCATTTACAGAGATCATTTCAGTTCCAGGTTAAACAACTTCCCACTTTACACATATTATAGTAGTCATGTCCTCCTTAGTGATTTTAAACAGGTGTTAGTTGTGGGTTACGTATGTCTCAGCCCTCTTCACTGCTACACTTTGTCTATCTGGCTATTAATATCTACATCCATATATTTTTTTCATCCTCCATATAATTGTTATATCAGCATTAATTCTTTCCTCCAGTCGCAGTACAACATTTTCACTGCTCATACCTGTCTTTCCCTGGTGATTCAGTGTTTGCCAACCTGATCTCAAATAGTGCCCAGTTTCTGAGATTTGTGCCATGGCCTGATGTCTACATGCAAAAACTCCAAACTTAATGTTTTGTAACCGTTGTCTGTTTACTTAACACGTCTTTTCAGCTTTCTTGGTATTTTTCACTTTTGACCTTGGTCATTAATGAAATGAAAAATGTTGTAGACTTATTTGCATCCAGCTATTTTCACACATAGATATAATAGCCAGATGTTTTGCACATTCAAGTCAAACAGCTGAGTGATTGTCTACTGTTATTAAAACTAATGACCATGTTAAAACTGATTGTGTCTTGTTGAAAAATGAGACGTACATTGCAGTCCCCACTGAGAAGGACACGTAGAAATGTAAAAATTGGCATTGAAGTTGCACTGAAGTGATTAGTGACTGTCTCAGGCAACATGATAAGGACAAACAAGTATTAAAGCAAAACTGAAGAGCACAATGAGTAAACACTCTAAGTGAGCAGGAGTGCCATCTTGTGTACTTCTCTCATCCTGCAATTGCATGAATGCACAGTACCCAGATTTGCAGCATTAAAGCCTAGATATGCACAGTGTGATGACATTCTAGGTGACAAGTACAAGCTTCTCCACCTATTGAGTTCCAGATCTCAATGGGGTTATTATTAAATGGCGTTCATATTTCTCCACAGGTGGCAAACATAAAACAATTTTACATTTCAGAATAATAATTGACCTTCTCCTTAAATTGCTGATAGTGCTTCTGCATTGATGTAGAGTCCAGGATTTTAATCTTGCAATTATGAAGAAATGGTAATATATGTTCAAGCTAGGATACTGGTTTTCTTGGAAAGGAACTTGCAAGTGAAGACGTGTCTGCGGTACTGCTGCCCTTATCCTTCTTTGTGGATGAAGCTGTAGGGCTGGGAGGTTCTAGCAACTAAAGATAGATTCGTAGAAGATACAGTACAAAAGAAGGCCTGACTGCCTGTCATGTCAGTGCTGGCTCTCTCTCGAGTTAGTCAGCTAGTCCCATTTCTCTACCTTTTCACTGCAGCCATGCAACTTGTATTTTTCTTTGGATAATTATCCAATTTGTTTACATGTCTTGAGTGAATCTGCCTCCATCATACATTCAGGCAGGAAACTCTACATCCCACCATTCATGCATTTAAAAAAATGTATTTCTTCACGTCATCTCTGGTTCTTATCTTAAATCTGTGCCCTCTTGTTCTCTACTTTCCCTCAAATGAAAACAGTTGCCCACTATCTACTCTGCCTGAACACCTGACGGTTTTGAATGCCACTACCAAATCTCCTCTCAACCTTCCCTTCTGTAAGGATGGCAATCCCAATTTCTCCAATCTATCTACATAACTGAATTCCTTTAGCTGTGGAACCATGCTTGACAATCTTTCCTGCCTTCACATCCTTCTTAAAAGTGTATTGCCCAGAACACAATATTCCAGTTAAGGTTGGCCCAGTGACTTATAAACGTTTGTCATCACTTCATTGTTTTATACATTATTCTTATTTTTGGTTTATAATTGTAAATAGATGACTTGGTGCAATGCATTCTGCAAATATCAGATACTGCTGCCACAATGCACTAATATCGAATACAAAATCCAAAGGCAATCTAATTATCTTGGTGTGGGTAGTGTTGAGCTTTATTAATGTACAATGTTGCACCCTTCCAAGCATACGGCAAGCATTCCATTATACACCTGGATTGAATCATTAAAAGGATTGAGAGGCATTAAGGGTGAGGGAGTGATCCACATTTTACAAAGTATCCAGGCTCAACTTGCATATTATCCACAAATAGGTGCTTTTTGACATGTTAACAACTCCTGTGATCTATCAAATTACTGCGTTGATAGAAGACAGAGGGTAGAAATTGGCTAGGTTAAATGCATTCTGCATTTTGCAAGGCATAACTTGAGCAATTTTCTACATTGTCAAATTAAATGTCTGTCTGAAAATTGTAATGGAATGGGTTTCCAGCACCACAGCCGAAATGTTGTCAACACCCAGCACTTTTGCTTTATTCAATATATTCAGGAACTTCTGAATGTTACAACAAGTGAAGTAATTTTACTGAATATTAGCATCTATGCTGGCAGGGAGCTCAGAAGTAGACAACTCATGATGGTCCACTGATCACTTTTTATTTAAGTGGCTAGCAAACATTTCAGCTTTGTCTCTTGCAATCATGCTTATGAATCACAGAAAATTAATAATAAACCAAAAGAAAAGCAGATGCTGGAAATCAGAAACAGAAATTGCTGGAAAAAAAGCTCAGCAGGTCTGGCAGCATCTGTAGAGAGAAATCAGAGTTAACATTTCATTTCCAGTGACACTTCTTCAGAACTGTTCTGAAGAGGAGAAACTGCACCCAAAACGTTAACTCTGATTTCTCTCTACAGAAGCTGCCAGACCTGCCAAATTCCTTCCAGCAATTTCTGTTTTTGTTACAGAAAATTAATATGTAGTAGGTAATAAGGGAGGCAAACGAAATGTAGGCATTTATTGCTAAAGGAATAGAGCACAAAGTAGGGAAGAGTTGCTGGAAGTTTACAAGGCATTAGTAAGACCGCACCTCAAGTCCTCTTACTTAACGAGGGATGTGGTTATATCGGAGGCAGCTCTTAAGAGGTTCACACGACTGATTCCAGAGATGAGGAGATTGTCCAATGAAGAGAGTGAGAGCCATTGAGGACTATACTCTCTCGGGATTAGAAGAATGAGAGAAGATCTGAGATATATCAGATACAAAAGGGGATTGATAATGCAGACATAGGATGTGTCATCATGTTGGGTAATCTAGAGTGAGGGTGCGCAGTTTTAGGATAAGGGGTAGCAGATTTAAAACAGAAATGAGAAATTATTTCTCTCAAAGAGTTGTGAATCTGTAGAATTCACTACTCCAGGATGCAGTGGATGCTGGGACATTGATTACATTTAAGGAACAGATAGATTTTTATTTAGAAAACAGTTAGAGTTGTGGGGAGTGGGCAGGAAAGTGAAGTTGAGGCCGAGATGAGATCAGCCATGATAGTATCAAATGGTGGAGCAGGCTCAATGGGCTGAATTGCCTAGCCTTGTTTCTCATGTTCAACTCTTCCCTGTTTGAGAATAGGGATACTCCAACTTTCCACTCCTGTAAGTTACTTGATTTCTACTATCATTCTTGACTACAGTAACAGAATTTTGGTCCAACTTCATTTGATGTGGAATTATTTATTGGGTTTGTAAGTTTTTTTCCTCTGCTTAACCAAACAGTGAACTGGGGTATTATTCGTTGGTTGGCTCAATAGCTTGGCATCCCATTTTAAGAAATGCACGATACCTAGACAGCTCCTCTATAATCCCAATGAACCAGGGTTTATCTACTTTGTAGATCTGACATTTTGGTGCTATTAGAGTATGGCCTTGATGACTGTTAACTGACTACTGCTTTTCAGGTATCACCAGAGTTGGCAGCGTCCATTTTATGGATCTGTAGCTGAGAAGGAGGAATATAGGTAAGGGAACATGCAAGAGTTACTACCAACCAGTCTGTAGGGTTTTTGTGTTTAAATTTTCATTGGTTTGTATGTGGTAATATGACTCAAAATGTATGGCTTTGAGGAATCTTTCATCTGCCTAATAATCACAAGTTTTCTGATAACCCTATACACAAAAGTTTGAGTCAGAAGATAGGAGTTCACGTCCCAATCCAAAGACTGAAGTGGATAATCTATCTTGAAGCGGATAATCTATCTTGAAGCTTCACCACCCTTGTACATACTGACACTCATCCTCTATTCAGGCGGACACAATCACTACAGAAGTAGTACAATTCCTTATGTAATGGCCAACATTTATCATGTAACTATCACAACGGATGCCTGGTCATGCCTCTCATTACCTGATACTGGGGTCTTTCTGTGCACAAGTTAGCTCTGATATTTTTCCATGTGACAGTAAATATACCTCAGAAGTAATTGATTCTTCACGAAAAGGTTTGGGGCCATCCTTAAGCTATGTAAGTTATTTTCCTACTTCTGAAAACTCAGGCCTGTTGATTCTGCATGTGCTCACTACCAGCCCCACACATATAATCTAATCTCCAAAATACATCTGTTTGGTTACTTTAATCTGAAGCTTTTGAAAGCTGCTGCATCAAGGTGAATCATAGAATCTCTACAGTGTGGAAACAGGCCCTTCGGCCCAACAAGCCCACACCAACCCTCAGAACACCCACCCAAACCCATCCCCCTATAACCCACCTAATCTACATATCCCTGAACACTACGGGCAATTTAGCATGGCCAATCCACCTAACCTGCACATGTTTGGACTGTGGGAGGAAACCAAAGCACCCGGAGGAAACCCACGCAGACACAGGGAGAATGTGCAAACTCCACACAGACAGTTGCGTTAGGGTGGAATTGAACCTGGGTCCCTGGCACTGTGAGGCAGCAGTGCTAACCACTGTGCCACCCAAAGTTTTGATCAAATGAGATATCAAAATGTCTATATAGTTTCTCAGTGCATCTATCATTCAAAGACCCCCACAGGCTCATTAAATGGAAGAGCCCATTTGGGATACTCTGCAAAATGGGGGATTAAGCATGCTAAATGCTGCTTATTCATTTTGAATTAAAAGATGTTTTTATTTTTGTGGGGAACTGTACATCAGTCAACCTGCTGCAACAACATTCAGTCACTAGTTAGGAGCTTATGAAGTCTGTGTTTGGCTGCTCTAGGCGTGAGATCAGGCAGCTGCTAAAACGGCAGATGAGCCAGCAGTGGGAGTCTCAGCGCTATGCCCTGTTCAATCGGGCCAAAGAGGGAGAGGCAGCACGTGAGGCAGAAAGGCAAGCAACCCTTCAGGATCTGGAAAAGCAGAGCGCACGCTCCCGTTTTCTTCGAGCATTCCGGGATGAAAACAAAAAGGTGAGATAGTCAGGTAAAAAATAATTTATCCCCTTTGGAGGGAACAGTGGCCTTCACTGCCACTATACAAAACTAATATTTTCTGGAGATAAATGCCGATGTTGCTTTAGATATGTTTCTTTTAAGTTATACATTCAATGGAAAAATGGCCAGAAGATTTCAAACCGTGATCAGAGATTATGGAAATTTAGTCTCAAAACAGAACTCGTGCCTGGCAGTATACAAATGTAAATTTATAAAGTATATAAATCTATTTTTCTCCTTTTTGTCAATTTCCTCTCAGCTGATGGAAATTCAGTGGAAGGAGAAGAGATTAGCAAAATCCCTGGATTCTCTACGAGAGCGTGAGCTGCTGCAATACAACCCAATCAACTGGAGCTGTACACTGAAATAGATTTTCAGCCCTCAATTTAACTGTGTCACTCACAACAAAAAAAAAGACACAAGTTGTGATGTTTTCTCAATAAAGATTAATTTTAAACATTTTGCAAATGCTTCACCCTGTGTGACAAAATGGCTCATTTGGAACACGGCTCATTTCTTGCCCCACTCTTGGGTTTTAGCACAAAATTAAGGCTTTGGCTCCAGTAGAATACAGAGGGAGCGCTACACTGTCAGAGGCACTCAGAAGGCTGTAAAAGAAAAGAACACATTGTACTATCTTAAGGAAAGGCAGGAGGGTTTTCCTGGTCTCTTGACCAAATTTTATAATCTCTGTGAGGAAGCCTAAAAACTAAATGACCTCCAAATTATCAACAAGATTTTAATTTTTCAACATGAATCAGAACCAATACAGATAAACATGAAAGTTAGGGAATCATAGACTAGTGAGCTTTACGTCAGTGGTGGGTAAGTTGTTAGAGGGAATTCTGAGGGACAGGAGTTACATGCATTTGGAAAGGAAAGCACATATTTGGGATAGTCAGCATGGCTTTGTGTGTGGGAAATGGTGTCTCACTAACTTTTTGTGTTTTTTGAAGAGGTGACAAAGAAGATTGATAAGCGGTGGATGTTGTATATACGGACTTCAGCAAGACATTCAACAAGGTTCTGCACTGTTCTTTACACATGCAGTGTGGGTCAGGAATCCAACAAACTTCACCTCCGAGCTTCACAGCTACAATTATCATCAATGTGACATACCTGTACAAACCCTCTCTCCATCAGATCACAACAGTCCTGATGGTGTGCTATCCAACCAACCATCAACACCTTAGTTCACTATTTGGCTACTTCTGGCAAAACACTCGGCTCTTCAGCGTCTCTGAGCTATTCACACAACCTGTTACGTACTGTATTACACAGATAACAATAATAAATCATACTTAGAAGTTTCATTATAAACAGTTTAATTATACAGTCTTATCAAAGCCATTCCCTTAAAGCTAAGGTATTGTTACCATCCCCTGCCCTTTAAACACTTAACAAGGCTCTAAAATAACATTGCCTCAACTAGCAGACTTAAATTATAGAAGGTGAGATTTATCTCTTTGAAGCAAAGGACATTGATGGGAGATTTGACACAGGTTTGTCAAATTATGACAGGCTTAGAGAAGGAAAACTCTTCCACTTAGCTGACTACAAGGACCAGGGAACACAGAGTGAAGGCTTTGTATAAGATATGTAAAGGGGAATGAGAAGAATCATCAAATTGAATCTCAGAATTTTACAGTACAGAGGAGATCATTCAACCCATCTGTCTGTACTGTCTCCTGAAAGAGCTACTCAGCTAGTCCGATTCTCTAACCCTATCTCTGTTGCCCTCTAAATCCATCACTTTCAAATATATGTCCAACTTTTTTTTTGAAATGCATAGTGTGTTAATGACCTGGAACAGATTGGAAACAAATCTCAAAAGGAAATTGGATGAGTACTTCAAGGTTATTATGCAGGGTGATGAAAACTGGGAACTCCATATTCAAGAGTATTCAGCACTCTTGAAGAATAGGCAAAATGAAAGAAGTGACTGACAGGTGGAAATAGGGTGAAGGAGCTCTCTGCTGGCCTTTTCACACAGGTCTGCTGTTCACTTTATGAAGCTGCTTTACCCATTCTCTCGCATGATTTCAAAAGCAAAGGGTCTTCTTCTCTCTCATGCTCTAAATACAAATCCCATTTCTTAGCACAGACTTTGACACTTCACTTGTTCAGGAGAGACTTCACTCCACAGTTTGGAAGGTCCTGCAAGCAGAAGCTCTGGGGGCAAGGGTTTTTGTGACAAACAACAAAAACATCAACAAAAAAAAACAAACAAAGACAATTCAACTTTTTATTTACCACAAAATGTTTATTTTTACCAGAATTTCAGTGCCAGCAGCACCAGTGTTTTGGAGGATCTACCCCCACCTCACTATGTTTATAACATATAATTTCAATTGGAGTCTTCCTGTTAGCAACCAGGCACATTCAGAATGACTGAGTAACACAGTCACCAGCTCCATTATGATCCAATATTTATTCCAGCCTTTTTTTGTTTTAAATTTAGCTAGGACACTTCCAAAGAAAGGTTGAAAGTCAGAGAATTAACTGAATCTTGGTGAAATACCTGGACACATATAAACCACAAAAATTACAGAATCAATAAAGAATGAATAGATTCACTTTGAATAAATAAATAAAAGAATGAATAAATTCACTCAGGTCCTGCACATCTAATTATACAGATAACAAAGACAATCTTTAGGGCATGCCACTGATGCACCTCAAAGATCCTACATATATACACACAGGTATAATACAGAAACATCAGTATCAGACAGCCATCCACTCAGCTAATAAGGGTAGTATGAGAAATGCCCAGCATAATCACATACACAGCAGTTACTTCATGTCTATAGAGGCAAAACTATCAGTATGTGATAGTATTGCTCAACTAGCCTATTTCCACAGGGTCAAAATTACACATTGCTACACTATACGGTAGCCAACATGAAGAAACCTCCAGTTTCTTTGTTTGTAGAAGTATATCTGAAATAATATTCAACAACAGTAAAGCAGTGCTCAGCAAGAATCCAACGATTAAGACAGAATTACGTCACACACCTGGGGCTTGAATTATTGAACCATACACTTTCCGATTTGAAGAGTAGTAGTGGGGCAGTCCAGTCCACCTTTTAGAAGATGGGAGTGATGCCGTCCCCTATTTTATCCCAGGAATGGAACGGTGAGAGTTTCAGTGCAGACAATTCCACTTTCCACCAGCAGATGGCTATGGCACTGTACAAGCTACAAAACTTTGGGTGCCATTACAAATGGGACACACATGCACCCTCAGCACGGGGATAAAATTCTCTAGTAATGCCCTTTGAGGTTAACTTTCAAACGAAAATGATTTAAAATTATTACATTTTAAACCAAACTGAACATACAGGAAAAAAAAATATTTGAGTACCTCTCAGCCACGTCCTTTGTGCCTTCTCTTCAACAAATAGAACAAAAATGAAAGGTTCGTGCTAAAAAAAATGCCAGAACTATGGTTATAACTGGTTGTTAATGAAGGACTAATTTGCACTCAAAGTTTAAAAGCTTTGCAGTAGATTAAAAATAATTTTTATGCATATTTCTCAAATTTATGGAGGAAACAACAGGAATCCAGAAACACCACCATCTTTTCTGATTTTGGGTGGGAGGGGATTAAGTGGATGGAAACCAAGTCAAAACCAAACCCTTCTCAAGTCTATCCAGATACTTAAGGCTAAATAGAGAACTTGTGTATAGCCCATTACTTTCAGTCAATTCACAATAAATATGACATGGAAAATTATTTCCCACAGTTCGTACAATAAATTAAGGATAATGAATATTATACAGGCAAATGATAAAATCTTTAAATATCCTGTAGATTACTGACACTTTTAAATTCTACTGATGTTGGACCGGGCTCATCTCAGGGTCAGGAATTTTAAGAAAATAATTTTCAAAACTATACACACAAACTTCACATCATAACTGGTATAAATACAACAGAAAGTGCCTAAAATGCTGAAAAACCAAATGCTGGAAATAAACAGCAAATATACGTTCATGAGGATGTATCCAAAACACCACCACCCGACTTTTCTCTTCACTAATGCGGATTTGATTGCCAAATGGAACCATTACTTTCTATTTCCAACCATATTAACTTATTTTCCACAATTAAAAATAAAGTATAAAAGGAGCATCAATGGGGGACAATGACAAAGATCAACAACTAGCTGATTGGAAGTGAAATAGGTTTGTTGCCAAGACAGCACTACTTTAACCCTCTACGTAACTCTGCATACTGCGGTCTTTCAATAGGACCAATATAATTTCCACTGATATGAAGCTAAGGGATCTATGCCCCTCCCAATGATAAACCTTATGTAATGATAAACACACACCTGCAATTACTAAATGTTGTAGACAGTTGCACAGATAAGTGTCCAAGACTCAACTAGGTGTTCGATTACTAGTCTAGCTGATCCTGACAATACTGCGTTAGCACCAACCAAAGACAAAAATAAAACACAAGCCAGGTTCTCACTCTTTATACCCAAAAATCTATGTTGGGAAGTGTATTATCACTTGTGGTTTAGAGTTTAACTGTGATACCACCCCATCACCCACCATGGAATAGCCAGACAAGAACTATTCTCCAGAAACTTTGTACTCACAGGGATTCATGAATCTTACCCAAGTTAGTCATCACTTAATTTCTTCCCCACAGAGAGAAAAAAAATGAAGACACTTCTCACAAATATGCTTCATTAACAAAAAAGCTATGGGTCATTTACCGAATTCATAAGGCAAGATCAACACTGGTATAAAGATCTTTGCCAGTGGGTTGTGTAAAAGTTCATTCCAATTTCATGGTGGCAATTCCATCGTAGTATTAATTCACAGATGAGTGTTTGAGAGGCTGCAATAATGACTTCTAGAAGTTTCAACAAGCGCTGATGTCAGGCTGATTCACTTATCAGATACAGCCAAAAATCCTTTAAAAATACTCACATTCCCATCTCAAAAAGGCATCAAGGACATCATGTTCAGAGTTCAATCCACTTGAGTTGAAATATGCTGACTCTCTTCCAATTTAAAATGATAAACAAACCTCTATTGGCCACAAATGGAGCTAAAAAACTAAGAAACTGAACCTCTGATGTTAAGCTGATTGTAACCCAACCCTTGGCTCAACACAAATGCTTTATTATCTTTTCTTCTATCTGCAAAATTAGCACCAAGTGTACATTCTTGATCCCGACTCCCCCCACCCCTTCATTACATTTTAGTCATACTGTCCAAAAGTAAAGAATCAGCTTTCAAGTTTAAGTCTCTTTATGCAATCCAAAAGACTGTGGTTCTTTAATCCAACTGCATATCAAAGATGAAGATCAGAACAAGGCAAGCGTTCTGCCACTACACTGCAGGCCAAACTGAAGCCACTTGCTTCACTACAGTCAAATGGTCTGATCTGGACTCATCTATTTCCTCAGGCAGGAGGTGCACACAATGCAACCTATAAAGAACATTCCTCTGATACATCCAATCCAACTTTTGCCTAGCTCTGCAGTTAATGACAGCCATGTTCAGGCTTTGATCGTATCACGCCCAAACTTCTTTAACATTTTTGTGGCTGGCTTCAACCCTCCCCTCAAGCAAAATGCCACGAATCCACAGACATAGCCTCTCTAACCTCAATTTGTACCCTATGTCTAAGTGAGTGTATTCTTATTCTTATCTTAATTTTAACTATAGATCGCTTCACATCTGCTGTGAATAGGATACCATAATAGGTCAAGAAAAAGCGTTACTTAATGAACAGCATATCAGTTGTAGAAGTTACTTTCTCATCATCCCATTCCAACAGATTGAGGAACACATTCATTTGCTTGTCCATGCTGAACATGAAACTCATTCTTGTACTCATTCATAGCTGACACCACTACAGCTTAAGTCTATTTCCTTCAATGAGGTAACTTATTGAAATGAAAACCAAGACTGTGGTCAGAAATTAAATACCCTACAAAATGTAATGGAGACAACTTCCAACCAGATTCCAAGTCTCAAAAACTAGCACAAACTGGGCTTGACAGGTTTATTATACAAAGCCATGGTTCATTTGGCTGAAGTTGGGACAATGTTCCAAAAGTAAAGTTAGATATTTTGTAAACGGAAGCACAATTTCATTGAGAGATGACAGAAGATAAAACTTCTCCCCTGAATCTTAAATATGCTTTTGGATAAAGCCCATGCTGCAGCTTTTTACAATAAATTAGAACAGTGCATATTCAGAAAACATTACATCATCGAACATTTTATCGAAACGAGAATTCACTAGAAGTATAGCAGAAGAGTTGCTTCGATAGAAACACCTCCACACACTCTGTCCGAATATAAATAATCTTGTGTTTTCAGACATGCACAGTTTACTCATGTTGAATTCATAATTTAAAGATTGCTATTTTACCCATACTTCCATGTGGCAATCCCAGCTGCTGGGCTCTGCAAAATAGTCCTCTGGGTAACAATCCAGTTTGGTTTAAAATAGTCAGCTACTACCACAGACAGCCATCTGATTCTTGCACTCAAATTAAACTTCTTCCTTATTTGCCTTTAAGAAATCCATCCACAAGACGATCTGATTTCTCTGACAGCCAGTAGCCTGCCGTTGCTGCAATGGCCCCAATGAAGATGGAGGTGAAAACCATATCTCCCTTTGCAGCTAGTGTTGCCAGTGCACAAATGATGACACCAAAGAACATCTGTTGTAAGACCACCATCTCATCCTCAGTGACATTGTCAAACAGACCTTCCTCAGGAACAGCTGATTGAAAAAATGGAGAGAGCTGGGCATTAATAGTTTAAAATCATATTTTATTTTGACCAGCTCTAGTTTAGCTTCACTTCTTAAAACCTCCTGTAGAACTGCACCTCAACAAAATGTATTTCAAGTATGTAATGACTGGCTTTTATTTATGACTTTGAGAAAAGTTTTGATTGATCTTCATGCTCATCAAGTGTAAAAATGCCCATGTAAGTGAATAGAACTTCATCCCATGTATCAACATTAGGCATATAAGGCAAGAAATAAGTCAGATGCAAAATAAAATGCTTCTACCTCTGCCCAACTAAGCATTCTTGGGTTGGCTTTTCAGCTGGTAATGCATCTGCTGTATTTCCGCACATTTAAAACACTGCCAGCTAATGTAACATCGCTACACAGAACATTATATTAGCTTTGCTTAAACTTTCAAAACAGATTCATTGTTGATGCATCTTGGAATAGAGGGATCCAGGTTTGGGTTAGAAAAGACGTAATACTTACGAGTCACCTGGTCCTCAACACAAACCCCATCCTGTTTAGAGAACCCATCAATACAAGCACACATGTAGCTGCCCTCTGTATTTCTGCATTCCTCGTGCTCACCATTACAGATTTGTTTCTCGCTGTTACACTCATCGATATCTGTAACAGAACATAATGAGACAATGAACTTTTCCCAACTGAACTATTTCTTCAGCCTTCAGAACACTTGGAGTAGGTCTACCATTTCTATTCCAGCTCCCAACCTAACAGCTCGACACTATAAAGTTTCTTTAATCTGGCTGTGATTTACTCACCAGTGAGTGGCCTTGGATACTGGGATGGCACTTTTTTAGCCACCTCATTTTTCCATCAACTGGGATAATGATAACTCACGACTGCACAGTCTGAATCATAAACTACTTGCCATCTTTATTTTGAAAATATCTTTTTCTACCAATTTCTCTGGTCCATTGTTAAAATTTGTGCTGCAACCAGCTGACATGTGACATCCTGTAACTGAGATGATTGACTTCCAGCAACCAAACACAGCATAAAGGAAGATGATTATGACTTGAACTAGCAGCAAGTTTCCCCAACTTCCTATTGACTTTAGTTTGGCTGGGATCCTTGATGCCTCAGTCAAATGTTGATGATCAAGATGGTTGGGGGTGGGAGAAGGGGTGGCAATGGGCTCGGTTGGATTGATTTTGTTTTGTGTACAGGACACAGTGGGCAACTTTCCACACTGCTGGGTAGATGCCAAAGTTGAACTAGCAATGGAACAGTTCGACTCAAGGTACAGATATTTCTGGAGCACACTTCTTTAGTACCATGGCACATGGCCAGTATGTTGTTGTTAAAGTCCTAAAGAACCTAAGAAAGGGCCAGAAAAATCTATTTTAGATATTGAACAAATATACCAGTTGGTAAAGATCGCATTTCTCTATATCTAAAAACTTTATCTTCAAATACTTTTCACAACACAGTTAAAAGACATTTGGCTCTCTCACAACTATTTGACAATTTTATCTTCACCTGATTCTCTTCAGTCTTAAAATTTCTGTTTAACAGATATTTATCTATTTCTCCTTACACATCTATTAGGGAATGAATTAGAACAAAGAACTATAGACGATGAAAACAAAAAACGAATTGCTGGAGAAACTGAGCTGGTCTGGCAGCATCTGTGGAGAGAAAGCAGACTGAGTCTAGTGACACTTCCTCAGAAGCAGGATCACTAGATTCGAAACATTCACTCTGGCTTTCGCTCCATCTATCAGGGATTCTGCTGCTGGTAGCACCCTCTATTTCCAAACAACAGTTCTACATAATAAAATTCTCCTGACTTTTATTCTTTTGGTGATAATCTTAAAATTTACATTTGTAATTATTGTCCAATGAAAGCAATTTATCAAACTAGTCATTATTTCAATTACAATCACATTTTCTCTGAATCTTTTCTGTTCTAGATGAAAACAGATCCAGTCTAACTGATCTTCATAACTAAAGCGTCTATCATTTAGCCTTCTGAAACCACTCCATGGACTTGACATCCCCAAGACGCTTTGCTTACCGAGACACTTTGTACCATCCATCTGATAACCTTTGTTACATTTTTTACATCTGCTAGGTCCAGCTCCCATACAGGTGAAGCACGCCTTATCACAAGCTGGAAAAATAAATATTAAATAAATATTACAGTGTAATGCCTGAGAGTGCCATGGAGCCTAGTAAGGTTTCTCCTCAGTCTCAGTTTAAAACCTGTCTGCCACATTCGTACAGATTTCATCACAGGGCAGACAAGAAAGAAAAACGAAGAACCAAATAACACTGTGCAAAGTAATTATCAAGCATTTCAGTTATTCCCTTTCATTTTGTTACCACCTTCTTGGTCTCAATGAAGATCAGCAAGCATTGATGAATCGTATAAGAAGTAGGAACAAAGTTGATCATTCTGTTTCTTGTACCTGCGCTACCATTCAGTAAGATTGTAACTGGAATAATGGAACTGAATTAAACGCTTGAACTTAAGGCCACTTTTTCTCAGTCAAGATTATCAGATACTTCAACTGAAATCAATAAGCATTCTATTCTATTCCATTCTATTCAAAAAGCATCCTCAGTGCTTTTTTTTGTGTAATGAGGCAGACTTGATTAGGGAGCTGAAGGTGAAGGAATCCCTAGGGGTCAGTGACCATAATATAACAGAATTAACCCTGCAGTTTGAGAGGGACAAAGTGGAATCAGATGTATGTATTGAGTTAAGGTAACTACAGGAATGCCTTGAAGCAGGGGGAATACATACATCACGCCAGGTTACTAACAAGCTGTAACAACTAAAGAAACGATCAAGAAATTAACTTAACACCCTAACTCTCCAGTTTATGCTGCTCATCAGTCTTTGGCCAAGATAGTCAGCAGAAAATTTACTCTAAATAAAAGTCAAGTACTATGGATGCTGGAGATCTGAAATAAAAACAAAGTGCTGGAGAAACTCAACAGCTCTAGCAGTATCTGTGTATAGACAACCAGAGTTCAAGGAATTTCAAAGTTCTGACGAAGAGGCATATTAGATTTGAAACACTGAATTGGTTCTCTCTCCACAGATGCTGCCAGATCTGTTTAGTTTCTCCAGCAGTTTTTACTTACTCTTAACACGCTGGCAATACTTAAAGAAAGGAAATCTTAAAAATAGAAGAAACACATTGACTTGTGACTTGATTTTACTTTGAAGGCCCAAATGAGTTCAAGTCCCAGTCAATACGAAGCATCAGTGGGACAATGAAAGGAAATGAAACAAATAAGTGAACAGTCTTGTAAATACGTTATAGAACGGCATCAAAAATACAAATTGCAGCTGGTTTGATGATTTAGCAGTCTTCGCAAAAAGGACAGCAACACTAACCTTTGCACTCGTAGGAGCCATCCACGTTCACACAGTACTGGCCAGGTTTGCAGTTTGCCAACTCAGTGTCGCACTCATCAATATCTGAATGAGAGGAAAGGGGACAGTAAGATTATTTTTAAACAAACAATAACAATACCATTAAAGACAGTAAACTACCTTTCAAAACTCCAAAGTGCCATTCTTACAAGTTACAAACAAGCTGCCCCTACTGTCAAATATGTACTCTTTTGATTAAAATTGTTCAAGACTGCTGGATACATTTAAAGAAACAGACCTCCGATTCTGACTTTAGTTTTGTGATTTTGCAATTCTATCTCAAACTGTCCTTATGAGTTGTTACTGGATCCCATAAAAAGTCAGTCACATTTATATTGAAAGTTATAGCTATGTATTTATAATATTATAATATATTTACTTGGAGAGTTATAGGACAGAAGGACACAATTCGGACTCCAATATTCTTTTCAATAGAAAAATCTAATTTCATAACCTTCTTTTCTCACCCAGCCCTAAATCTCCTCTTCGTAATGTTTATCTACTCCTCCCTTTAAAAATGCAATGGCCTACACTTCCATTACTAAAGGAATCTGCGCTACTGCCCCAGAGATTCCAGTATCGTATGGAGGAACTGTTACATTTTGGAGGCACAGTTTCTCAGGTGAGATAGTTCTCTATGACTAATATAAAGTTGCCATAATCCCAGAGGACCATACAACCATATAAACAGCTTGTGCCAGAGCCCACTTGGGAACAGGCAATTCTGGATTTAGTGATGTGTTATGAGGTAGAAACTAAAATCAGGAGTTGCTGGAAATACCCAGGTCTGGCAGCATCTGAGGAGGGAAGCAGATATATCATTTCTGGTCCAGTAACCCTTCTTCAGAACTAGTCATTAGACTCAAAACGTTAACTCTGCTTTCTCTCCACAGATACTGTCAGATCTGCCGAGTTTTTCCAACAATTTCTGATTTTGTTTTAGATTCCCAGCATCCCCAGTGCTTTTTTTTTTGTGTAATGAGGCAGACTGGATTAGGGAGCTGAAGGTGAAGGAATCCCTAGGGGTCAGTGACCATAATATAATAGAATTAACCCTGCAGTTTGAGAGGGACAAAGTGGAATCAGATGTAACAATTCAGTAAAGGTAACTACAAAGACATGAGGGACATACTGATTAGAGTTAATTGGAAAGGGAACGTAGCTGGGAAGACAGTGAAGCAGTTACAGCAGACATTTCTGGAGATAATTCAAGAGGCACAGCACAAATTCATCCCAAGGAAGAAGAAACATATTAAGGGGACGATGAGGCAACCATGGCTGATCAGGGAAGTCAGAGATAGCATAAAAGCAAAAGAAAAAGCACACAATGTGAAGATTAGTCGAAAGCCAGAAGATTGGGAAGCCTTTAAAAACCAGCAGAGGATAACTAAAAAAGCAATAAGTGGGGGAGAAGATGAAATATGAGAGTAAGCTAGCTAGTAATATAAAAGATTGCAAGAGATTTTGTTAGATATCTAAACGATAAAAGAGAGGCAAGAGTGGACATTGGACCACTGGAAAATGAGGCTGGAGAAGTAGTATTGGGAACAAAGAAATGGGGGAGGAACTGAATCAGTACTTTGCACCAGTTTTCACAGTAGAAGACACCAGCAACATGACAACTTCAACAGTATCAGAGGACAGAGATGGTGTGGTGGCCATCACTACGGGGAAAGCGCTGGGGAAGCTAAAAGGTTTGAAGGTGGATAAATTACCCAGACGAGATGGACTACTCCCAGAGTTCTTAAGGAGAAAGCCGAGGGATTGTGGAGGCATTGGTGGTGATCTTTCAGAAATCACTGGAGTCAAGGAAAATCCCACAGAACTGGAAAATATCTAGTGTATCACCCCTGTTTAACAAAGGAGAGGGACAGAAGACAGGAATCCATATGCTAATTAGCCTGACCTTGATTGGTGGTAAGATTTTAGAGCCCACTATGAAGAATGAGATTGCAGAGTTTGGAAGTGCATGATAAAATAGGGCAGAGTCAGCACAGCGTCGTCAACAGTGGGGTGGGGGGGCGGAGCATGTGTGGGTGAGCGGGGTCACACCTGACAAATGTGTTCAAATTCTTTGAGGAGGTAATGAGCCAAGTTACACAAAGGAGACTAGCGGACATAATCTATTTGGATTTCCAGAAAGCCTTTGACAGGATACCACACTGCAGGCTGCTGTTAGACAAGAGCCCATGGTGTGAGGGGCAATAGAATGGATAGAGGACTGGCAGAAGGCAGAGAGTAGGTATAAAGGGGTCTTTTTCACTACGGCAGTGAGCGACTACTGAAATTCCACAGGGGTTAGTGTTGGGACCACTACTATTCATGTTGCACATTAATGATCTGGAGGATAGAATTGAGGGCATGGTTGCTAAATTTGCAAGTGATACAAAGATAGGTGGAGGGATAAGTAGTGTCAAAGAAGTGGGGAGGCTGCTGAAGGACTTCGACATGTTAGGCAGGTAGGCAAAGAAGTGGCAGATGGAATACAATGTGAGAAGGTGTGAGGTTATGGACTTTGGTACGAAGAATAGAGGCGCAGACTATTTCCTAAACAGGGAAAGGCTCCGGAAATCTGAAGCAGAAAGGGACCTCGACGTCCTAGTTCAAGATTCACTTAAGGTTAACAAGTGTGTTCAGTTAGCAGTTAGGAAGTCAAATGCTATGTTAACATTCATTTCAAGACGGCTAGAATACAAGGGCAGAGATATAATGCTAAGGCTGTATAAGGGTCTGGTAAGACAGCATTTGGAATATTATGAGCAGTTTTGTGTCCCTTATCTAAGGATGTGCTGGCATTTTAGGGGGTCCAGAGAACGTTCACAAGAATGATCCCAAGGATGAAGGGCTTGTCATATGAGGAGTGGTTGAGGACTCTGGATTTGTACTCGGTGGAGTTTAGAAGGTGGGGATGGAATCTGATTGAAACCTATAGAATACTGAGAGGCCTGGATACAGTGGCCATGGAGAAGATGTTTCCATAGGATTGGACCAGAGAACACAGCCTCTCAGTGAAGGGATGATCCTTATAACTGAGATGGGGAGCAATTCTTTCAGCCTCTAGTAGTTAATTTGTGGAATTCATTGTTGCAGAAGGCTGTGAAGGCTAGGTCATTGATGGCTTTAAGGCAGAGATAGATAGGGTCTTGATTAGTAAGGCGGTCATGGATTATGGGGAGAAGGCATGAGAATGGGGTTGAGAAACAGAGTCTGCTCCATGGTCAAATGGTGGAGTAGACTCAATGGGCCCAATGGCCTAATTCTGCTCCTATATCTTATGGTTCCCCCTCAGTCTCCTCTGCTTCAAGGAAAACAATCCCAGTCTGTCCAAGATAACAAAGTGTGGAACTGGAAGAACACAGCAGGCCAGGCAGCAGAGTAACAGGAAAGTTGACAATTGTCCTGACCCAAAACGTCAACTTTCCTGCATTTCTGATGCCATTTGGCCTGCTGTGTTCCTCCAGCTCCACACTTTGTTGTCTCCGACTCCAGCATCTGCAGTTCTTGCTATCCCAGTCTGTCCAATCTGTTTGCACAACTAAAACTCTCCAGCCCAGGTAACAGCCTGGTAAATCTCCTCTGCGCCCTCTCCCATGCAACCACATCTCTCCTATAGTGTGGAATCCAGCATTGCACACAGTACTTACTGTGGCCTAACCAACCTTTCATACAAATCACATTAAAGAAAAACTCCAAAATGGGGATAAAAGATACCACAGTGCTACTTCAAAGACTAGCTGAGGAGCTGTCCACAGCGCCAAAGTCAATATTATCCTTCAAAGTCACAATATTAGACATTATAAGCATGATCATACTGATGCTTGAGGAAACTACCCGTGCGCAAAATACCTGCTGAATATTTTACAATATGACAGTGGCTACACATCAAAATCAATTTATTTGTTGCAACATATTTTGGAATATCCTAAGTTTCTAGAAGATGCTATATAAAAGTGCAAATTCTTTTTTAACTGGTTTTGTACAAAAGGAAATTTATTCTACATCATTTTGGCATGTCAAAACTTTAAATTGATAACCCCTCTATTTTCCTAAACAGAAAGATAGTCCATTTATGATTTTAACAGAATCAACACAAGTATGATAACTAGAGGCCAAAACAGCGTAATAAATAACAAAATGAACAGATTGTCATCATTCATCTTCATGACATTCAGTCCTCAGTAGATGAGAAGGATTCAAAAGATAAGCAATTAAGTACATACCTATGCACTTGTCATCATGCAGGAACCAGCCAACTTTACACTCTTGACATTTATAGTCCTCAGGGCCTGTGCACTTCTTGCAAGACTTGTAGCATTCTGAAACACAGCAGCCAGCAGAGCATAAGGTCAATTGATCTATTATCTGTAACTTCACTAAAACTATGCTTAGAAATTGTAAGCATCAAATCTGAAAAGTTAAAGAAGATTTTGAATTTGGATTAGGCATGTAGAAACAAAGTTCACTGTTGATAGAAGGGTGTCATTTTCAAAGTTGTGAAAATTTTAATGTCTTGGTCCAGGTTTGCTTTTCTGGAAATCTTTTAGGCAACAAATTTGCTTTTCTTCACCTAAATAATTCAGGTCCATAAAAACAAATTATTTTTATATATCACATCAGTTTCAAGCACTCAAGTTTATACAAGATTAAGATTTTCTATTTGATCCCAAGAATACCAATTTGCTTTTGTTCCTGAGCATGCTCTTCTCATGTGAAATGTAACATTTACTCACATGCATATAACAGGCCACTGCTATGAAAAATCGATGCCAAGGCAGGGGCAAATTCAAAAACTAGTCAGACACTACTCCAATTCTTTCAATTTGTCTTCTAGGCTTTCTCGCCAAAGGCATGGAACATATTAGTGGTCAGCATGGGACCCAACATCCATTCTATGTATATAAGATGGGTTGTTTAAAAAATAAGGGTAGACTTGAAGCAGACTTGCTCAGCTAGGTAAATTAGGTTTTAAACATAGCTGAATACAGTAGAACACTTAAAAGAGGGACTTCACTCTCTGACTTGTTCTATATTTCAACATGTAAAGTTAAGAATGGATCAGAACTCTCACTAGTGACAAAGGCATTATGGTATTACATCTCACAGAACTCTCTGTGCATGCTCCTCCTAACCCAAAAATGCCAATGTATGTATTCCTTATGTCTTTGAGTTATGCTTACTGAATAAAAGATATCAAAATACGCATCACGTACCTCGACATACCAGTTGGGTATCATTCCTTGACTCTTCAAAGTATCCATCAGCACACTCCATACAGATAGATCCTGCATAGCCTGGATCACAATTACATATCCCAGTTCCAGAGCGAGTTCCATCGCCATCACATTGACCATATCCACTGCATGGTTTTGTGGATCCACCTATACATGCTGTAAACACAGAATAAACAATATGACCAGAATGCAATTTTCACTTCAAACAATGACAGTGTCTTAAATAACTTGCATATGCACAGACTCTATTAACTTCCAAAGCATTTCACAGAAGACAAAAATCTGAGATCAAGTCAAATAAAGTAAAATTAGGACAATTTACCAAAAAAGTTTGGTCAAAAAGTTCTGTTTTAAGGAGGATCTTGAAGGAAGCAAGAGAGGGAATTAGAGGTGGAGGGGTTCAGGGGTAGAATTTCAGAGTTTAGGGTTCAATCACCCAAGGTATGGCCACCAGTGGGATGAGAGAAATCTGGAACGACCAAGTAGCCAGAATTGGAAAAATAGAGGGTTCTAGGACTGGAGGCGATAACAGATGGATAGAGATGAAAGTCCTACGGATGTCACTGGCCAAATAGAGCAAACACAATGAATGGCAATGAAGAGATTGAACGACGTATGAAGTCTGAGCTATTCAGCTCTCACACAGCAATTTAAATATTGCAGAGCTTGAAGGAATTTCAAGTTTAAAATTTCTCCCACGATACCCGCAATTGAGTATTAATTGCGAAGTAGAAAAAGAGGGTACAAAATCTTTTGATGTTCATAAATAATATATGTTGCGTGTTTCCTCAGGGCTCAGTGGTAGTTATTTGGGGACGCAGCCAAAGCACCATACATATCTTCAGTTAACAACATACTCAACAGTACGGCATGGTAAATAATCAGTGCATCACCAAATCACTTAGACAGAGTATCATTCTGTTCTTGGAACAAACTATATTATTTTATCTTTTTGATCTTTAATCTAGTTCTCAAGAATACTTATCATAGCCAAGGATTTAATAGTCACCTTATTTTGAATAACCACCTAAACATGCTGTTACTCACAATCAGTTCGGAAACCTGCATTCTATTGGCCCGCTGAAGTATATGTTGATCACCTCACAAGAAAGAAGTTGAAGCATTCAAAATTTAATAGACTGAAAGGTCAAATTATGGGTCACAAAAGGATGACTAGGTCCAAAACAAATTACGCAAAAGCAGGTTCTAATTTGAAGAGGACTAGAGGGAAATCAGATTTTCAGATAGAATTTTGTCTCTGTCAATCAATCTATCACAAGAGTCAGATGTCATAACTTGAGGTCAACTTCAATCCCCTCCTTTTTGTACAACATGAGCAACCAGGTCACCTCTCAGTGCAAGCTATCCTTGGGCACCTGGACTTAGCAGCAGAACCCTGGTTCTGGACTCCCCACATGTCGGGAACATCCTTCCTGCCTTTATCCTGTCTAGCCCTGTTAGAATTTTATAGGTTTCTATGAAATCACGCCTTCTTTCTTCTAAACACCAGTAGATATAGCCCTAACCGATCCAGTCTCTCTTCATACATCAGACCTACCATGCCAGGAATCACATCTGGTAAAACGTAATTGAGCTCCTCTGTAACCAGGAAATTCTTCCTCAGTTAGGGATACTAAAATCACACACAATACTCCAGGTGTGGTCTCACCCAGGCCTCATGCAACTGCAGCAAGACATCCCTGCTCCTGTACTCGAATCTCCTCACTACAAAGCCCAACACATCATTTGACTTTTCCACTGCCTGCTGTACCTACAATCTCGCTTTCAATGACAAAGGTACAAGGGCACCAAGATATTGCTGCATCTCCTCCTTCCCCAATCTATCACTAGATAATAATCTGCCTGTTTTTGCTACCAAAGTGGATGGCCTTACATTTATCCACATTATACTTTATCTGTTGTGCATTTGCCCACTCCCTCAACTTGTCCAAATCACAATAAAGCATCTCTGCATTCTCCTGTCGGATGACCTTCCCACGCAAATGCAAAAGTATGCAAATACCTAGAAGATAAAATTACACCACCTTTTCAGCTAACTTCAAGGTTAACAATGGGACAAGTCCTCCAGAAATCAGGGAAATTCAAGGCCTATGATTTGAAAATTTTAATTCAACTTTATTCTCAAAAGTAGCAGGACTCTACGGTAGACCGAAAATCTAACTCAATCTTGAATATATTCTGTAAGCCAGCCCCCAGAGCTCTCTATGGTGCCCATCCAAAATAAGAAATTCTTCATCTCTATCTTAAATGGAAGACCCTCATTCTCAAACCATACCTCCTAGATCTAGATTCCTTAGTAAGGGGAAACATGCCATCAGCATCCACCCCATCAAGCCCTGTTGTAAATGTTCTTTACTAAGTGCATGGGGAAAGTGACGGAAATTAAAATAAAGGGGAGATGAAAATGATTTTATACACACAAGTTGTTAACTTTTTTTATAATACACTACGGCCAGGAACAGGCCCTTCGGCACATCAAACCTGCGTCAAATCCTAGTCTTATTTAGACCCACTACCTAATACCCATGCGCAGTTTCTATCCCTCTGTTTGCCTCCCATTCATGTGTCTATCACAATACACCTTAAATGTTGCTAACGTGCTTGCTTCCACTACCTCCACTGGCAGTGTGTTCCAGGCACCCACCACCCTCTGTGTGAAAAACTTTCCCCATCTCACTTTGAACTTGTGCCCTCTTGTAGTTGACCTTTCTACCCTGGGGAAAAAGCCTCTGACTACCCACCCTATCTATGCTTCTCATAATTCTGTGGACCTCTATCAGTTCTCCTCTCAGTCTCTGTCTTTCCATTGAAACAATCAGTTTATCCAACCTCTCTCCATAACTTAAACCCTCCAGACCAGGCAACATCCTGGTGAACCCTCTCAAAAGCAGTCACATATTTTGGCAATGTGGTGGCCAGAACGGCACACAATATTCCAAATGTGGCCTAAATAAAGTTTTGTGCTGCTGTAACGTAACTTGCCAACTTGTATGTTCGAAGACCCGACCGATGAAGGCAAACGTGATTTTTGCCTTCCTGACCACCTCATCCACCTGTGTTGCCACTTTAAGGGATCTGTGGACCTGGACGTCCAGATCCCTCTGTATGTCGATGCTCCTAAGCGTTCTGCCATCTACTGTATAATTTGCGCCTTAATTTGATCTTCCAAAATGCATCACCACACCCTGAATATTGGAAATATTTTACTTAGAATACACGGAGTTCGAAGCATCTAAATATTCCTAAAATCTGAAAAACTTAGAATCTGAATTCTTAGGCAATCAACCACCTTTACCACATCTTAAAAAGACCAACACATACAACCAACACCTATTTCAGGTGTTAAGGTGCCTGGTACAAATGGCTAAATAAAAAATGCACATTATCAATATATCATCAATTATATATCAAATGTTTGAGTACCATTCTGTACTATCTGGACCACCTGGCTCAGAAGCAAGATTAGGAATATTAAAGTGAGTTATAGACTTGTCTATTGATTTTGTTGGTTAAACAATTACTTTATTACCTCATTAATAAGGCAAATATTTCCTATTATGAAAGCCAGAGCAAGTAAATGTTTGAGCAAATTCTTGGGTAATAATAGGTAATGTGCAACTCAGAGCACACAATTCTTTCAACATGCCCACTTTATAATCATACAAAGCACTGAAAGTAACAGTGTCTCAAATGGGGATATAAACAATTTATTTAATGTATTTTATGTACACCTCTTTGTGGCCAATATTAAAAGTAGATAATCTATCTTATACAGCCAGCTTTTTAAAATTAAAATGATCTATCATTTCCATTTAGATAGCCAAGCAATCAAGAATAAGAAGAGACATTTATCAACTTTAAAGCTTAGTAATTCTCCAAGCCATAAAGAAGCCCCCAGAAAGTTCATGGGCACTTAAATAAAGTACAGGAGAAAGCAGATAGAGTGAGCCAGTTGGGTGGTTTTGAAGCCAGCACAGGCTGTTTTCATTTAGGAAATGAAGTTAGGCCCACAAAGTAAATGGCCTGGATCTTGTGGATAACAGCAAAGCGGAAGTGCATTCCATTCACTGTATCTTAAGCACAATCTGACAAGTCTGCAGTGGGAACTTGCTCCGCTAGCAGCAGCATAAATCCATTGTGAAGTTAACTAGACAGGCTAAGTCCTCTGCTGATGTCACAAGCTGAAGAGCCCCTGTGTCGTCAACTCAATGATAGATGTGTTTTTAATGTGCTTCTAATCATTTTAAAAGTTGAATAAAGGAAACCTTTAATTCTAACTCCACCTCCAGGGTTATGAGCTAAGTTGAACTGCCACTGGGTGTCAAGATTCAGGTGATGGGGGAAAATATGGCGCGGGAATGTTTTGACAGTCCATCCGATTTAAAGGGTTACACTCTCCGGAGCTCTAAATTAGTCAGTGTAAATAATAGTGTACATTAAGGGTCAAAAATTCCAAATTTACTTGCTGACAGGTTCTGCTAGGCTTGCCAGTGTAAATTCCCTCAGAGACCTTTCTGAGGAACTGCAACTTCTGTGTTTCAAAACACGCCAGCTCCCCTTAAATTGTGGGTTCACTGCAGCCATCAGTATCAGTGACATCTCAGTGTTTACTGCCAATGGAATCATAACACCAGGGTCAAAACTGACTTCTTTCTGTTTTACATGTACACATTTTGAACCCATCAATAGAACGGTCCAACAAAAGCAATGCCTATAGAGTGAAAGATCAGAAACTGGATAATCATCACAGCATATACAAAGCCTGGTTCTGCTACAAAATTCAGAAGATGGTCAACAATTGTCAAGGTGTCAAAAACATGAACTCAAACGGAATTTAGTTTTTAAAAACATTCTTAACATTTTGAACCTACTGTATTTGGAAAAGGTCAGTAGAATGTTGCATTTTGCTAAAATGAACAAACATATTTAAAATCATATATACTCCGGGGTCTACAGCATCTACTTGACATAAGTACTGATTATACTCACAGGAGCAGTCAGGTCCAAAAGTCCCAGGAGGACAACAGACTTGGATGGTTTCTAGACAGAGCCACTGGAATAGATCTGGGTACTTCTCCTGCCTGCAAAGAATGAAACAGATTATTGGCCGAAATATGGAAAGGCACCCACCCCGAAGGTGAGTACACAAAATATTTTTAGTGAGTTGCTTATGCACTGCTCAGACCAACTCTCCCACAACATTGAAGAGAGGTCATCCTGTCTGGGACAATACAGAAAGATATCATGTCTTTTACAGAAAAGGAAAACTCCCTCAGATATTCATAACTCCAGGGTGCTGCGACCTCCAACACAAGAAATACAAGAACTAAAAGCTTGCAAAGACACATACCCACTAGCAGCAGCACATTTTTTGTCCCAACTACAAAGCCCAATTATCTACTGTCATGGTTGAGGGACAAAGGAGAGTTGGCATATTGCCAAATCAATTTCTGACTGAGGATGGGATGGTTTTAGGACTTTATGTAAAATTGTGGCAAAAGAAGGATAATGCACAAGGTGGCATGAAGAATTTAAACACACTTTTTGAACCACCAATTTTCAATATGCTCTTCATTTTGTTCCACCATCTGATTACAGTCAAAATTCATGCTTTCACATAGCAGTTCTATGATCTCCAGTAGACGAGTTTCACTGTAAGCAGAGAAGAAACAATTTTATTAATGGACTCTGAACATAATATTTTATATGTTGATTATAGTTTTAACACAATCAGACTAAGCTAATCACAAGATCGCAAATCACAATCACCACTTCCTCCATTTCCCTTATTCGTTAACAAGACGAGGGCATCGCTGGCTAGGCAGCATTTATTGCCTATCTCTAATTGCCCAGACGGCAGTTCAGAGTCAACCACACTGATGTGGGTCTGGAGTCACATGTAGGCCAAACCAGGTAAGGATGGCAGTTTCCTTCCCTAAAGGACATTAGTGAACAGATGAGTTTTTCCGACGATCAACAATGGGTTCATGGTCGTCATTAGCTTCTTAATTCCAGATATTTTATCGAATTCAAATTCCACCACTTGCCGTGGCGGGATTTGAACCCGGAATGTTAACTAGGTCTCTGGATTAACAGTCCAGCGGTAATACCACTAGGCCATCGTCACCACTTGAGCATAGGCCAGGGAAGATCTGGACCACTTGTTCCACAAACGAATCAGAAGAAATAGCTCAAATTGTGACTGATAAATCAAGTCAGACCACTGGCCACAGATTGAACTTCTGCTTTGAAAGATCAATTCCTGGTGGTATTCTGACTATTCACACTGCATCAGCTGAAACCACTGAATGAGTTACTAATCTTGAGATTAAATTATAACTGCTTCCCCAGCAACACAAATTTTAAAAAAACTAAAGAAAAATACAAATAAAGAAGGCCAATGGCCCGATTTATCTTATCCATTCCAAAAGATCCTACAACCTCTACCGAGATGCTATTGTTTCCCAAATAATTCCAGGATTTTTGCCCCTATCACAAAGAATCCCTTTACATTAGACCTATCTTTTATTAGTTTAAACAGTTTCCACTTGTTCTCTCCAGAAGACCATCAGATATAGGAACAGAATCAGGCCATTCAGTCTAATCAAGTCTGCTCCACCATTCGATCATGGCTACTATTTTTCTCAATCCCATTCTCCTGCCTTCTCCCCTCATTGGAATGTAATGAAAATACAACTTCATTTGAAGTCATTTTCCAGATTTACCTTTTACAATAATTTTTATTGCAGCATCTTACAGTCCTCATGAGGACAGCTCATGTCATCACCAATATGTGGCACACAATGAATTCATGGTCAGTATGCTATACTGACTAAATACATCGATAGGTCAGTGCAAGAAAATTTTTAAACTAGAAGGCTGCAAGTTTTTAATTGGATTATGCTAATTATTATAATCAACTCCACAGGAAAAAAAAACAGATAACACAGGAGACAGAAGTCAGGCAGCATCTGAAAATGAAAGGCATGAACATTTTAAATGCATTTGCTTTCAGATCAGATTGCCCAACTGTGACATTATAAATATCTCTATTACTGCAGTTTCATTTCTGTCATGCAGAATCAAAGTATAATTATGTTGTGAAATATTGCATGGACTTCATGCCACAAGTGCTAGCAGAAACCCCCATTTTTCATTAGAATGTGGGAACTGCCAACAAAAACCAGTAATGCCCCATTCTGAAATTTGCCTTAAAATCCTAGCAAGGGTCTAAACCATCCTGAAACTAAAAACACTCCCACCGCCACGATACTGGTCATCCACAGGAACAGCTGAGCTAAATTACATGATCCATCCCATGTATTTCCTTGCATTCACATGGTGACCTCTAGGCACATACCTGATTTCATACTTTGCCAAATTTTTCTTTTCCCAATCAGTGTTTCCACCACCAAAATTCTTGTTTGCAGTTTTTTCCATTCCCTATGAACATAAAGGTAAAAGACTCTACTTACAATGATACTGATTGAGACAATCCCCATATACCAGTTGGTTGTACCATGTTCGTTTTATGAGTACCTTACGGGTTCTGCACTACCTGGCAGCAAACCTTTTACAACAGTATGTTTAGCTTCTCCTCCATTTAGGTCTAGGTTTTCAATCCCTAAATGATGAAAGAGTAAAATTCTAACCACTGAGTATTTTTCAAGACAAATGATTACAGCTAGGGAGTTGAAACAATAAACATAATATGTAGAATTATCAAGAGCATTTCCACTAGGGGGTCTAACTGAAGTTTAAAAATATCTGAATATCCTATCTGAATTGCGTCAACAATTAAAATACACGTCGCCGTCATGGAAATTGCAACCAACTTAACTTTTAAAAAGACAACCCAGAACACTTAAATACAAATTTCACATAGGGTAAATTACAATGAAAAACTGTATTCTATATAAAGAACAAAGAACAAAGAAAATTACAGCACAGGAACAGGCCCTTCGGCCCTCCAAGCCTGTGCCGATCCAGATCCTCTATCTAAACCTGTTGCCTATTTTCCAAGGATCTGTATCCCTCTGCTCCCTGCCCATTCATCTGTCTAGATACATCTTAAATGACACTATCGTGCCCGCCTCTACCACCTCCGCTGGCAACGCGTTCCAGGCACCCACCACCCTCTGCGTAAAGAACTTTCCACACATATCTCCCTTAAACTTTTCCCCTCTCACCTTGAAATCGTGACCCCTAGTAATTGAGTCCCCCACTCTGGGAAAAAGCTTCTTGCTATCCACCCTGTCTATACCTCTCATGATTTTGTAGACCTCAATCAGGTCCCCCCTCAACCTCCGTCTTTCTAATGTAAATAATCCTAATCTACTCAACCTCTCTTCATAGCTAGAGTCCTCCATACCAGGCAACATCCTGATGATCCTCCTCTGCACCCGCTCCAAAGCATCCACATTCCTTCTGGTAATGTGGCGACCAGAACTGTACGCAGTATTCCAAATGTGGTCGAGCCAAAATCCTATACAACTGTAACATGACCTGCCAACTCTTGTACTCAATACCCCGTCCGATGAATGAAAGCATGCCGTATGCCTTCTTGACCACTCTACCGACCTGCATTGCCACCTTCAGGGTACAATGGACCTGAACACCCAGATCTCTCTGTGCATCAAATTTTCCCCAGGGCTTTTCTATTTACTGTATAGTTCGCTCTTGAATTGGATCTTCCAAAATGCATCATCGCGCATTTGGCTGGATTGAACTCCATCTGCCATTTCTCCGCCCAACTCTCCAATCTATCTATATTCTGCTGCATTCTCCGACAGTCCCCTTCACTATCTGCTACTCCACCAATCTGAGTGTCATCTGCAAACTTGCTAATCAGACCATCTATACCTTCCTCCAGATCATTTATGTATATCACAAACAACAGTGGTCCCAACACAGATCCCTGTGGAACACCACTGGTCACAGTTTTCCATTTTGAGAAACTCCATTCCACTACAACTCTCCGTCTCCTGTTGCTCAGCCAGTTCTCTATCCATCTAGCTAGTACACCCTGGACCCCATGCGATTTCACTTTCTCCATCAGCTTACCATGGGGAACCTTATCAAACGCCTTACTGAAGTCCATGTATATGACATCGACAGCCCTTCCCTCATCTATCAACTTTGTCACTTCCTCAAAGAATTCTATCAAGTTGGTAAGACATGACCCTCCCTGCACAAAACCATGCTGCCGATCACTAATAAGCCCATTTTCTTCCAAATGTAAATAGATCCTATCCCTCAGTATTTTCTCCAGCACCTTCTCCACCACTGACGTCAGGCTCACCGGTCTATAATTACCTGGATTATCCTTGCTACCCTTCTTAAACAAGGGGACAACATTAGCAATTCTCTAGTCCTCTGGGACCTCACCCGTGCTCAAGGATGCTGCAAAGATATCTGTTAAGGCCCCAGCTATTTCCTCTATCGCTTCCTTCAGTAACCTGGGATAGATCCCATCCGGACCTGGGGACTTGTCCACCCTAATGCCTTTTAGAATACCCAACACTTCCCCCTCCTTATGCCGACTTGACCTACAGTAATCAAACATCTATCCCTAACCTCAACATCCGTCATGTCCCTCTCCTCCGTGAATACGAACGCAAAGTACTCATTAAGAATCTCACTCATTTTCTCTGACTCCTCACTTAACTTCCCTCCCTTGTCCTTGAGTGGGCCAATCCTTTCTCTAGTTACCCTACATCTACAATAACAGTGGAATGGAAAAAAAAAATGAAAAAAAAAAAAAAAAAATCACTTGTTCAATTCAGTTTGACATTTATAGCTGGACTTTTCATCAATAGAGTGACATATGGCTGCACCAGCAGCACCTGTGTTTGAAAATTCAAAACATCTCTTTTAAACCCGAGTAGATTGAGATAAATAATCCATTACTTTATCCTCTCATTTTATCGTGAAGGAAAGCTCGTTGCATCCACTTTCTGCATCTTTTGTCCCTTTAGGATTTTGTATTCATAACTCATCCAGAACCTCAGGATGAGTGATCAGCAGAGACCAAACACAGATAGAGCAATTAAAACTGACTGGCCATCTGGCTCAAAGTCAGAAGCTCACTACTGAAGCATACTACTTTAATGACACTGCAGTTCCCCTCAAGGCCAAAGCAACGGGCAAGATTCTTTGGCATAGATCCTTACCTTTCTGAAGTTCTCAGTGATATGACGACAAATCTGACAGGCGTCCTGTTTTGTGGCAACAGACTCCAGAAATGGTAGAGAAACAATAGAGTAGAGAAGGATCCAAATGATTGGGTAGTTGAATAGCCTGTGGCTCAGGAGCGGAGAGATGTTCATTGTGAATTGTAAAGATCAGGCTGCCCAAAATGAAAGAAAACCATAATAGTCACATAAAGGAGATCTGTGTCTCACCAGTTAGACACGCTAGAAAAATAACGACACTACATAGGTAATCTTTGTCAAATAGTTGTTTAACTTTTCTGTGTTGTGAGGCTTGCATACTTACTAAGACGATGGTCCTATCATTATCATCATCTATTGTCAGTAATTTATTGGTTATCAATCTACAACGATTAGAGATCTAAAAATCCCAATTTTTGTTCCAAAGAATAAAGAACAATACAGCACAGGAACAGGTCCTTCGGTTCTCCAAGCCTGCGCTGACACATTCTGCCCTTCCATACTAAAACTGTCTTCACTTACAGGATCTATACCCCTCTATTCATGTATTCATCCAGATGTTTCTTGAATACTGTTATTGTGCCTGCTTCCACCACCACCTCCTCTGGCAGCACATTCCAAGCACTCACCACCCTTTGTGTGAAAAACTTGTCTTGCACATCTCTTTTAAACTTCCCTACCCCTTGCACTTTGAACCTGTGTCCCCTAGTAATTGATCCCTCCACCCTGAGAAAAAGCCTCATACTTTCCACTCTATCCATGCCATTCACAATCTTTTAAACTTCTATCAGGTTGCCCCCCACAACCTCCTGCGTTCCAGTGAAAACAAACCCAGTCTTATCTGACCTTTCTTCATAGATAAAATACAGGCAACATCCTGGTAAACGTTTGCCGCAGTCTCTCTGAAGCATTCACATCCTCCTGTTAGTGTGGTGACCAGAACTGTAAACAATATTCCAAGTGTGGCCTAACTAAAAAGTTCTATTCTTATACTCAATGCCACTTCCAATGAAGGCAAGCATGCCATAGGCCTTTTTTACTACCTTATCTACCTGCACTGCCACCTTCAGTGATCTGTGGACTGCACACCCAGATCCCTCTGCATATCAATAATCCTAAAGATTCCGCCATTCTGCCATATAATTTCCACCTGTACTTAACCTTCCAAAATGCATCACCTCACAGTTGTCTGGCATTTTTCTACCCATGCTTCCAACTGATCTATATCCTGTTGTATCCTCTGACAATCCTGCTCACTACGTGCAACCCCACCCTCTTTGTATTGTCCACAAACTTACTAATTAGACCAGCTACATTTTCCTCCAAATCATTTATGTAGACCACAGACAGCAAGGGTCCCAGAGATGTATTATAAGATTAAAATTCTCTCCACATGTAAATGTACATGTACAATAAATGTCCTAAAACATGGCAGCTTTGGAAATAGCCAGCAAATCAGATGATGCATTTCTTTACAACAATAACAATTTATCAATGCCTGCAGTTAGTCTCTGGGGAAATTGGGATGGGGTTGTCATGTCTGATGACTGAAATGGAGATGGAAATTTCCAATAAAAATAATTTAATTATATATATATATATAAAACCTTCCATAAATGCAAGTAAGAGAATCACATGTACACAATTATGATGGAAAACAGTTCTAACACCCTCTTCACGATACATTACGATTTGGAAAAATTAACTAATAGATAACTAAAATACTGCAAATATTTGAAATCTTAAGTAAAAGAATAAAAAATGCTGAAAATAGTATCAGGGATGGGGTCAGTGGGGGTTAGAGGGTGATGATCCTCCTTCTCCCTCTGGACAGTGAAAGTTCCCCGAGGACAGCAGCTGAGCACGTTAAAGATGCTATACCTGGTGGTTAGCCTGGGCTGATCTCACACCGACACACGTCCCCTTCCCTGGAACCTGTGAAAGAGGAAAAGATTTAAAAACAAGACAGCTCAGACAGTAGGTGAAGTAGCTGGGTGCAAGAGAGTAGGGAGGTTAGGTTGAGTGGGTGGGATGGGGAGATGGTGAGGTGGGGGTGGTAAAGTGGAAGTGTAAAGGGTGTGAGGTGGGGGTGTTGGTGAGATGGGTGAGCTGGGGAGGGGGGGTGAGTTGGGGGTGTTGCGAAGGGACGGTAAGGAGGGGGTGTGATGTGGGGTGGAGGGTGGTTAGTGTGTGAGGAGGAGAAGGGGCAGGGTTGGGAGGACGCAGAGATGGAGATGTTGAGGGTTTGGGGGCGGGGGGTGGTGTGTGAGGTCGGGCCCAGTGACAATGGCGGCTCTCACCAAGTGACCGTGACGACAGAAAGCCAGGCTCCGCAGGGGCCTCTCGTCACCCCGGAGAATTCGATCTTCTTTTCTCCTCTTGCTTATTATTAATTTTAGATTTAATAACAACAACGAATGTTACTACGATTTGGTTGAAAGATAAAACTGTGCAGATGAAACAATCATCTCCAGTGTCTCAATAACGTTCAACCCGATTGGTTTAATCGGCTCGAAGGGTAGCCAATCAGAATGCGATGTGCGAGGGGCGGGACAATAAGCGGCCCCCGTGACCCGCCCCCACCCCACCCCAGGCACATGCGCAGTCGCTGCTGGTGAGTGTAAATTATAGTTGGGAGAAGGATGGTCATTTCCTTAATGCTACTTTAGGTTACACAAAATGTATTAAAGAGAGTCATGGATTTAGAATGAATTGGGCAAACTGAAATGAAAGCAGCGAATGCTCTGATGAAGAGTCATCTGGGCTCGAAATGTTAGCTTGCCCTCTCTCCATGGATGCTGTCTGACCCACTGTGATCTCCAGCATCTGTTGTTTTCAGTTCACATTCCAGCATCTGCAGTAATTTGCTCCTGCCTCAAGAGCTTAGTCTTCATTGGCGTGGAGAAAAGCCATTTTCATTAATGGGATGTGCTCATCAAAGGCTGCACCAGCATTTGTTGCAAAAACAAAGTTGCTGGAAAAGCTCAGCAGATCTGGCAGCATCTGTGAAGGAGAGAACCGAGTTAACGTTTCGCGTCCGGTGACCCTTCCTCAGTTCTGTTTTTGTTCCTGATTTACAGCATCCACAGTTCTTTTGGTTTTTACCAGCATTTGTTGCCCTTTCCTAATTGCCCAGAGGGCAGTTTTGCTGTGGATCTGGAGTTACATGTAGGCCATACCACATAAGGATGGCAGTTTCCTTCCCTAAAGGACATAAATGAACCAGATGTGCTTTGCCTGACAACCAGCAATGGATTCATAGTCATTATTAAGCACTTACTTACAGATTATTATTAAATTCAAATTCCACCACCTGCCATGGTGGGATTTGAACCCAGGTCCCCAGAACATTACCTGAGTCTCTAGATTGTCAGTCCAGTGATAATACTATTCGATTTTTGCTAACTCATCGCTGGCTCGAGCCCTAACATCTATTTTAGCTCTGATCAAAGCCTCTGATTTCTATAGGGAAAATGCACACATCATGGATCAAAGGTGTTCTATTAAGCAACCAGCATAATTAAGCGACTCTGAGATCACCCTGTCCATAGTGATGGCGAATCCAGCATGTGAGTGAAAGAGACAAGCCATAATTAGATTTCAGCCTTTTTCTGACATTCCCATTGTCACAGAGGCAACCTTGAGCCAACTGAATTCATTCCATATGACTTCAAAAAATTATTGACTGCACCGGACATAGGTTAAAGAACTGGAAACTCAAGAGCACAAGCGACATAAATGGAGTTCCAACTAAAGCAGGTCAGAGATATTCTATGTGTAGAGCTGGATGAGCACAGCAGGCCAAGCAGCATCATAGGAGCAGGAAGGCTGACGTTTCGGGCCTAGACCCTTCATCAGACCCTTCATTTTTTCTGATGAAGGTTCTAGGCCCG